TACAGGCTCATCATATTTTGTACATTTTAGATATGATTTAGTCGGCAAACTTTCGAGCTGACGTCATCAAGTTTTTGGAGGGGATAAGCAAATATATTTTGACTAAACATTTATTATGCTCTTTATGACCTTAAAACATCTGCAAGATTTCAGAGCATTCGGTTTTGTAGTTCCTGATTAAATCAATAAAATATATTTACGCATTCATTAATTTTTTTGAGTCACCCTGTATATGCAAATCCAAAAAATATGAATGGAGTGATAGATGACAAGTACAGACTCATCATATTTTGTACATTTTAGATATGATTATGGACGTTTCGGGTGAAAAGTCGATTCAGAGTTGTAAACTACATGTGTAGGTCTATGTTATTTTATACAATTGAAAACCCATTTACTATGTACAATTTTGAAGTGACGTCATCGCATTAGTGGTGGAGATGATTAGACAAATTTTGGTTAGCGTTTTACCATCTACATGATATTCTTAATATAAGTACAAAATTTCACAACAATCGGTCGAGTACTTTCGGAGATTATCTGTCTAATAAAAATCCGGGACGGCAAACGGACAGACGGACAGACGGACAGACGGACGGACAGACGGACGGACAGACGGACAGACAGACGTAAATGGGAGACCTATTTCTTCGTCTTCTAGGGGTCATGAAAGATCGAGAAAACGTAAAAGTAGAGAGTCGGCCGACGGACTCGATTACAATACTTCCTTTGCTTACGCTCGGGAAGTAAAAAGAAGAACTGACGGAAAAAACAACTCACAAGAAAAAGCAAAAAAAAGGGGAAATTTTGAAATAAAAAAGCGACAAAAAAAAACAAGAAACAAAACGCGATTTAAGGGTAAAAAGCTGTGACAAAAAGAAGTCAATTTAGGTCAAAAAATGGTAAAAAGTCCACATAAAATGAGGCGAAAATATGCGATAAAAAGAGGTCGCAAAAAGGCACCAAAAAAGACGGAAAAGGCGAAAAACGCGACAGGAAACGACTACAAAAGGGACCAAAAAGTTGCGACATAACATAAAAAGTTCAACTAATAAAACAACAAAAAATGCGACAGAAAACGAACGAGAAGGTACCAAACAAAGAGAGAAAAGCAAAAAAAATGGCGACAACAAAGCGAAAACGACAAAAAGACCACAAAAATAGGGAGAAATAAATAATCAACAAAAAACCTGGCAAAAAACTCCACCAAGGAATCGTACAAAAAAAGTGCCAAAAATAAGTCGAAAAAAAACAAAGAAGTTCACTCAAAAAATCCCAAAAAAGACGATAAAATAAAACGACCAAACAAAGACGACAAAAAACGGCAGGAACTGACACACAAAAAAAAGAAGAACTAGCGGTCAAAAAAGAAAAAAAAGCAAAAAAGGGGGAGAAATTTTATACAAAAACGCAACAAAATAAAAGCAAGAAAAAAGGCGATTAAAAAGTAAGGGTAGAAAGCTACGACAAAAAGAAGACAAAAAATGGTAAAAAGTCCACATAAAAAGGGGCGAAAATATGTGAGAAAGGAAGGTGGAAATAAGGCACCAAAAAAGACGGAAAAGGCGAAAAACGTGACAACAAAAGAGACCAAAAAGCTGGTAACAAAAAAACTAAAACAAAAACGTGTCAAAAAAAGACAAAACAATAGATAACAAAAAAAGTAAATAAACTACAGAAAAAAGGCACAAAAGAGGCTATTATAAAAAGGGGGCACTAAGCTATGAGAATAGAAGATACCAAAAAAGGGGAAAACATGAAGGTAGAAAAAAATAACAGCAAAACAAGGGATAAAAAAATAACGAAACAAAAGGTGACAGAAAAAGTGCCTAAAAAGTGAGAAAAGGGCACCAAAAATTAGGCGAAAAAAGCGACAAAGGAGAAAGAAAAAAGACAGCTAAAAAGGAACAAAAAAGGCATCAGAAAAGGAAGACAAAAACGTAATAAATAAAAGCAACGAAACCTAAAGACAAAAAAAAGGACCAAAAAAGCTGAAAGAAAAGCTGAAACATCGAAAAAAGCCACGGCAAAAAATGAGGTGAAAGAAGCGATAAAGAAAAAAGAAAAAACAACTAAAAAATAGAAAAAAACGACCAAAAGAGGGAGGCAAAAAAAGGGAGCAAAAAAGACGTAAAAAAGGAGACAAAATGTGAAAAATTAAAACGACAAAAAAATTTCAAAAACATGAAGACAAAAAACGGACAATAAGGCGATGGTGGCAAAAAGTCCATCAACAAATGGTACAAAAAAAGTACCAAAAATAAGTCGAAAAAAAAAACAGAAAAGTTCACTAAAAAAATCCCAAAAAAGACGACAAAACAAAACGACCAAACGAAGACGACAAAAAACGGGAGGAAGTGATACACAAAAAAAAGAAGAACTGGCAATGAAAAAAAACGCACAAGAAAAAGCAAAAAAAAGGGGGAGAAATTTAATACAAAAAATCGACAAAATTTTAAGCCAAAAAAAGCGATTAAAAAATAAGGGTAGAAAGCTGCGACAATAGGAAGACAAGTCAGTTTAAAAAATGGTAAAAAGTCCACATAAAATGGCGAAAATTTGTGAGAAAGAAAGGTCGAAAAAAGGCACCAAAAAGTTGCGACAAAAAAGTCAGCGAAACATAAAAAATGCAACAAATAAAACAACAAAAAGTGCGAAAAAAAGTGGAAGAAAAGGTACCAAACAAAGGGGGAAAACCAAAAAAATGCCGACAAAAAACGAAAACGAAAAAAAAAACACAAAAATAGGGAGCTATTAAAAAGCGACAAAAACTTGTAACAAAAAAACCAAGAAACAAACGCGTTAAAAAAAAGACAAAAAAAACAGACGCCAGAAAAAACGTTAAAATCCATCAGAAAAAAGGCACAAAATAGGCTATTATAAAAAGGGGGCACTAAGCTGTGAGATTAGAAGATGTTAAAAAAAGAGGGAAAACATGAAGGTGGCAAAAAATAACAGCAAAACAAGTGACAAAAAACAAAAGGTGAAAGGAAAAATGCCTAAAAAAGAAAAAAGGGCACCAAAAATTAGGCAAAAGAAGCAACAAAGAAGAAACAAAAAAGACGACTAAAAAGTAACAAAAAAGCCATCAAAAAAGGAAGATAAAAACGTAATAAATGAAAGCAACAAAACCTAGAGACAAAAAAATTGTCAAAAAAAGCTATATAAAAAGGCGATAAATAAATTGTGGAAAAGAAGCAGCAAACAATAGTACAAAAAAAAGGTACGGGAAAACCAACAAAAATATGGTCATCAAAAAAAAAACGCGACAAAAAAGGCTACAAAAGAAATCTATACAGAGCGAAAAAAGGGCACCGAAAATGCGACAAAGAGGAAAAAACGACTGAAAAAATACTAAAAAGCGACCAAAAGTAGAAAAAGACGAAGAAGAAATTAAAACAAGTGACCAAAGAAAGAGGGGAAAGCCACAAAAAAGAAGTAAAATAAATTAACAAAAAAAAATACTTAAAAGCGCCACAAAAAATTAGAAATAATAATAAAATAATAAGAATAAGAAATAAAGCGACTAAAAAGAAATCGGAGAAAACCGACACAAGAACAACAAAAAAAAGGCGACCAAGAAAAAAGGAAGAACTGCCACAGAAAAGGCAAAAAGTAACCAAAAGTAAACCAAGAAATGAGATTAAGGTGACAAAAAAGATGAAAAAATGCGTAAAAAAATATTGACCAAGAAAGAAGGGAAGAGAATAAAACGCGACCAAAATGCTACGAAAAAGGCGACAATAAGATGGAGGTAATTAAAACCATAAAATAAGAAGGGAAAAAACTGAGACAAAAAAGTTGACAAAAAAACTTAACTGAAAACTACAATTTTTGCAAGACTTCATACATTTTTTTTATCCACTATTGCTAGTATTCCAAAAATTTAATTAAAAATTTTAATGGTTAATAGTCATTACATGAAAGTTGAGGTTATGTGCATTTAACAGAAATATAAATACCTACTTATTTCTACGAATTTTATTTTCGAAGATTTTAATAACAGAACACCAAAAAAACAAGGAACATTTCTATTAGTTCCGAAATTAAAGAAGAATATATGATGGGGAATGAACTCTTTTATTTTTAGTTTTGTCTTTAAGCATAACAATTTATTACAAACAAAATTAAAACCATATATCAAAATATATAAATTTTCCACGATTAGTCAATCGCAACCCAGTAGAAAATAAGAATTAGTTAAACATGAGAGAAGTTAATTTTAATTGTTTCCACAAAATTTGCATAATTGACTATTTTTAAAGAATGAATGGATTTAATAAAGTCAATATTGAAAATCAGATTTCTCGTAGATAATTATGTACATTATCATTGCTTGCAGTTTACTCGTATGAGAAATAAAAAATTATCCACGTAGTTTACCGAATATTTACCATTTTTGTTTTATTGTTTTCATTACCCCCGTAAATTACAATTTTCATAAATTAGTAACATCGAAAACCGCTTTTTTTCGTACGATTGTCCGATAACAAATGAAGGTCAAGTGTAGACATACAGCGCTATCTATCAGCGACAGTTCGAAGTTTGAAGAATTCGTTGTTGCTACCTGCTTTCTAACCTCGCTACCAACTGTATGACTTTTAAATCACTGCACAGATGTCACTATGTTACCAATTCTTAGAAAAAAAAATTGGAAATAGTAAAATAAGAAATCTCAGAATGGGATTGTTTGGCGTTCTAACTTAAAATTCTGCTGAATCCGCCAATTTTTAATATCTTATAATTACCAGTCTATTACAGAATTATTTTATAAAAATACATTTCAACGTTATAAGTAAAAACTGATCTTGTCTTTTTCTCTTCTTCAAATATATGAGATTTAAAAAAATAGCCAATAGGACGTTGTACCCAAGGTAGATAAACCTTTATCTACCTTGGTTGTACCGATTCGTGAAACCTGGAGGTGTTAAATTCCCCCAACATACTACATACGACGTTTGCACTAAAATTAGTGTGTTGTGTTGGCAGCACTTCGAGTATTGATTTTTTAAACTCCCAGCATCCGTCTCTTAAGTTTCTGGAACATAACAAATAACAACGAATAACTAAAAATCATGTGTATTGTCAATCACGCCAGAAAGATTGGATTAACCAGAAATGTTAGTTAAAAATATAAATTCTTCCAAAATGGGCTGAAAATATTTTACTTCAATATGATGTTGGGGAGAAAACAGAGCTTGAAAGGGGAGCCAGTTCTAGCAGATTATGGTCCTGATGAGGCTTTTAATGAGAGCGCTGATATCGAATGGGTGAACAAGGTATTTTCGGTGTTGTATGCATTCTTGTAATCCAGTCTGGTTCCAGTGTTTTTTTTTCTTGCCCAAAGAAATATTTTTGTTATTATTTAAGGATGTATAGTATGTAAAAAACGTATGTCGCTTTAAAGAATGCACTGTGTAATGTGGGCTGCATAACCTTTCATATTAGTTTCCTCAAAAACAAAATCGCTAATCATGGTAGCAAACTAGCGAATTTACCATTTTTAGAGATGGGTCCGCAGACTAATGCGAACATGCGCCTTGCTCAGCTTAGCATCTGTCAGCTGCAACACCCCCAAGACCTTCGAACGCATAATACCCATGCAATGGATCACCTTCAGTGTGGACATCGTCGTGACCATTCTTTTCACATCCGAAATGGTGGCAAAAATGCACATCCGTGGAATACTAAAAGTAATCACAAAACTTCCAACACCCCTATCACGTAACTCAGAAATTTCAGGGAGAAAAACCCTATCTGAAGGACCACTGGTGCCAATTTGACGCCAGTATGGTTTTCTTCTTATGGATATCAGTGATTTTACAAGTGTTCGAAATCCTGGGCACGGTCCCACGTTTCAGCTACTTATCGATCCTCAGAGCCCCGCGACCTCTCATCATGATCAGATTTCTGCGAGTGTTTTTGAAGTTTTCTATGCCTAAATCAAGAATAAATCAAATATTCAAGTAAATGATAGAAATTAGTTTATTGAGTGTAACAAGGGTGTTTCAGGCGTTCGAGTCAACAGATCTACAACGTCACTCTATTTTTTCTTTTCTTTATGTCTTTGTATGGACTGTTAGGGGTGCAATTTTTCGGCGAACTAAAAAATCACTGCGTGCTTAATAACACAGATTTGAGGTAGAATTGAACACTTTTATCAACACCCGAAATGTAATTGGTTTATTTTAGGCGTATAACGATAAACAGTCTTGCCATACCGGACACATTTTGCTCCCTAGACTCTACATCTGGTTACCAATGTCCTGAAGGAATGAAATGCATGAAGTTAGAAGGGTTACCAAGATCTATAATAGGATTCAATGGGTTCGACGAATTTGGTACATCTTTCAGACCATTTTTCCAAAAAACTACTATTCCATTTTAGTTACCAGTTTCTTCACTGTGTACCAAGCGGCATCCCAAGAAGGTTGGGTTTTCATAATGTATAGAGCCATAGATTCTCTTCCAGGCTGGCGCGCCGTCCTTTATTTTAGCACCATGATATTTTTTCTGGCTTGGTTGGTCAAGAACGTTTTCATAGCCGTCATCACAGAAACATTCAACGAAATCAGAGTGCAATTTCAACAAATGTGGGGAGTTCGTGGGCACATCCAGAACAGTTCGGCGTCACAGGTCACGGAAAAAACCCAACGTAGTCCCATTTCTAACTTTTTGGTCATTTAGATCTTAATCGGGGATGACCGCGGCTGGAAATTAGTAACTCTAGACGAAAACAAGCACGGAGGTCTCGCTCCAGATTTCTGCCACAAGATTCTTCGTTCTCCTCACTTCAGACTGATTGTTATGGGGGTAATTTTGGCGAACGGGATAGTGACGGCCACCATGAGGTTCAAACACGACGAAAGACCCAGGCACGTGTTCTACGAACACTATTACTACACAGAAGTGGGGTTTACCGCACTTCTGGACTTAGAAACGATTTTTAAAATCTGGTGCTTGGGGTGGAGAGGGTACTGGAAGCATTCAATCCACAAGTTCGAACTCCTTTTAGTCGTAGGGACGACAATTCACATCCTACCAGGCCTCTATATGAGCGTTTTCACGTACTTTCAAGTTTTGAGAGTCGTGAGATTGATCAAAGCGTCACCTCTTTTGGAAGACTTCGTTTACAAAATTTTCGGACCTGGCAAGAAGTTGGGTAGTTTGATCATATTCACCATGTGTTTGTTGATCATTTCGTCAAGCATTTCAATGCAGCTGTTCTGTTTTCTGGATTTTACTAAATTTGAGACGTTTGCGGAGGCATTCATGTCTATGTTCCAGATTCTTACTCAGGAAGCTTGGGTTGAAGTAATGGATGAGACAATGTTGAGAACGCGGTCAATGCTTGCCCCTCTAGTTGCCGTGTACTTTATCCTCTACCACCTTTTCGTCACTCTGGTAACTCAACTAAAATCTTAATCCTCTTTTGTAACAACTGTATCTTCAGATCGTGTTAAGTTTGTTCGTAGCTGTCATTTTAGACAATCTCGAACTCGACGAAGACATCAAGAAGTTGAAACAGTTGAAGTACCGAGAACAGAGTGCCGAAATCAAAGAAACCTTACCTTTCAGGCTACGAATCTTCGAGAAGTTTCCAGATAGCCCGCTCATGGTCACGCTCCACAAAGTCCCCTCAGACTTTAACCTACCCAAAGTTCGGGAAAGCTTCATGAGACAGTTCGTCTACGAAACCGAAGACGACGAAAACTCAGAAAGCGGTATCAAAAAACTAAACGAAGAACTATTCGATACCAAAATCATCTACCGAAAGCAAAAACCCCTAAAAGTGTTAAACACTTTACCGAAAGTGAGAGTCGAAAACACAAAGCTGAAAAAAACGTCTGTGTCCTACATCATCAAGTAGTAAGTTTGTACACACGAAGCAGCTGTCTTTATTTTTCCTTGTAGCGATTCTAATAATCAGAGATTAATGCTTGGTGATTCTTCCATGATTCCTGTACCGGGCTGCAAAGGTCCCCTCAAACCCCAAGGAACTATTAACAGTATGAAACAGTTACGTATTGATCTTAAGAAGTGAGTGGCGGCTATTGGCAACAAAATTTCAACATTGACTTTATTTCGATCGCAAAATTTCATTTCATTCATTTTATTTCTCAAGTGTTTATCAAAGATATTTTGGTGCACCGTTACAGATTCGGCTCAAGATCGATCAGGAGGAGTGTCCGCAGTGGCTCGATTAAACTTAAGCAGACTTATGAGCATTTGATGGAAAATGGTGATATTGGAGTTAATAGAATGAGTTCGAATAGAGCTAGACCGCACGATTTAGATATTAAGTTGTTACAAGCCAAACGACAACAAGCAGAGATGAGAAGGTACCTAACTACTAAAATTTTAGAGAAAGTGTCCAATATATGATTGTTTTAGAAATCAACGAGAAGAAGACTTAAGAGAAAACCATCCATTTTTTGATACACCACTTTTTGCGGTACCAAGAGAAAGCAAATTTAGGAAATTTTGTCAATTAATAGTGTATGCTAGATATGACGCTAGATTGAAAGACCCATTGACCGGAAAAGAACGCAAAGTACAATACAAAAGTCTCCAGTAAGTCTTAAGTCGGATTGTACTTTCTGTGAACACAATTTTACAGTACCTTTCTGGGTTTGGTCACCTACTTGGACTGGGTAATGATAACCATGACAACTTTATCTTGTCTTTCAATGATGTTTGAAACCCCCTATTACCGAGTCATGGAAAACGTTAGTTTACAAGTGGCTGAGTACTGCTTCGTCATTTTCATGAGTATAGAACTCGCGCTAAAAATACTAGCTGATGGACTGTTCTTCACCCCAAAAGCATACGTCAAAGATGTAGCTGCTTTACTAGACGTTTTCATCTATCTTGTAAGTGTGCACATTGTTTGACTAAAACACGAACATTTTTCTTAAAGGTAAGCCTAGTGTTTCTATGTTGGATGCCAAAAAAGGTACCACCGAATTCCGGAGCACAATTACTCATGATCCTTCGATGTCTTCGACCACTACGAATTTTTACTTTAGTACCACACATGAGAAAAGTGGTCTATGAGCTATGTCGCGGCTTTAAAGAAATTTTATTAGTATCGACGTTACTAGTTCTTTTGATGTTCATCTTCGCCAGTTACGGAGTCCAACTCTATGGTGGCAAATTAGCCCGTTGTAACGACCCCAACATCACCAAAAGAGAAGACTGTGTTGGAGTTTTCTTCCGGCGAGTTTTCGTCACGAAAATGAAGCTCACACCTGGCGCAAATGAAACCTACCCAACGATTTTAGTACCCAGAGTGTGGTACGACCAGTGGTACTTTTACAAACTCATCCTGACACGTTTGTTTTAGGGCAAATCCGAGACGATTTAACTTTGACAATATTGGTGACGCAATGTTGACTTTGTTTGAAGTTTTGTCTTTCAAAGGTTGGCTGGATGTTAGGGACGTGCTAATAAAGGCTCTAGGACCTGTAATTTCCACTAACCGTTTTTGAAACTCTATACATACAAGATTTTCAGGCACACGCCATCTACATCCACGTTTATATCTTCTTGGGGTGCATGATTGGGTTAACGTTATTCGTGGGTGTCGTAATTGCTAACTATTCCGAAAACAAAGGAACTGCTTTGTTGACTGTTGACCAAAGGCGGTGGTGCGACCTTAAGAAAAGACTAAAAATTGCGCAACCTTTGCACTTGCCTCCTCGTCCAGATGGGAAAAAATTCAGGGCTTTTATTTACGACATTACGCAAAATATTAAATTTAAAAGATGCATAGCGATGATGGTACTGATCAATAGTGCTCTTTTAGGAGTCACGGTACTAAAATTTAGACATTAATACCTACACAATCTTTATTTGTGTCTTCGTAGTGGAACAAAGAAGAGGCCCACACTGATATTCTAGCAACCGTTGGAATGATTTGCACACTGTTGTTTTTAGTCGAAGTGGTGATGAAAAATATCGCTTTCACCCCCAGAGGGTACTTACAATCCAGACGAAACAGGTACGACCTTTTCGTTACCGTCATGGGGGTAATTTGGATGTTCTTCCACACAATGTTCAAAGTAAGAACTTAACTCACTTGAAACTCATTTGATTGGTTTGATTTAGAACGACCTAACATATTTCGTTGGGTTCATGGTAGTGATATTGAGGTTTTTTACCATTACTGGGAAACACGCAACCCTCAAAATGCTAATGTTAACTGTAGGTGTGTCCGTGTGTAAAAGTTTCTTCATTATTTTCGGGATGTTTCTTCTGGTTTTCTTCTACGCATTGGCTGGTACTATTATTTTTGGTACCGTGAAGTACGGTGAAGGTATTGGAAGGTAAATCATCACCATTATAGTTACATAAACACGTTAGTAATGACAAATTTTAGGCGAGCAAACTTTGAATCTCCTGTAACGGGAGTAGCTATGCTTTTTAGAATCGTGACAGGAGAAGACTGGAACAAGATTATGCACGACTGTATGATCCAACCTCCTTATTGCACTCCTGCTGATAACTACTGGCAAACCGACTGTGGAAACTTCACCGGATCGTTGATCTACTTTTGTACTTTTTACGTTATCATAACCTATATCGTGTTGAATTTGCTAGTGGGTAAGAATAACTAGGTACCGACTGGTTAAAAGTTTAATTAAAATGACTTTACACAGCTATTATCATGGAGAACTTTTCCTTATTCTACTCAAACGAAGAAGATGCTCTACTTTCGTATGCCGATATTAGAAATTTTCAAAACACTTGGAACATTGTTGATATTCATCAGAGGGGTGTCATTCCTGTTCGAAGGGTAGCTTATAATCTCGTGTCTCTCTTGAAACTCATAAAGTGGTTTTAGGTCAAATTTATACTTCGTCTTTTGAAAGGTAGGCTAGAAGTAGATCCCCAAAAAGATCGACTTCTGTTCAAACACATGTGCTACGAACTCGAACGACTGCACAATGGAGAAGATGTAACCTTCCATGACGTCATTAAGTATGTTTTGGTACCAAAATTATGATGTGAGTGTGAGTACTTTGTTCCAGTATGTTGTCATACAGATCAGTTGATATCAGAAAAGCACTACAATTAGAAGAGTTACTAGCTAGAGAAGAATTCGAGTATATAATAGAAGAAGAAGTAGCTAAACAGACTATAAGGACGTGGTTAGAAGGGTGTTTGAAGAAAATAAGATCAACAAGCGTACGACTTATTTGTATTTGATTATTGGTGATAATATGAGACATTATTTTAGAAGCAACAAAATAGCCTCATCGCTGGTCTCCGAGCCACAAATGAGCTAATCAACGCGCCTGAAACCACCGAAGAAACGAAGAACGGTGCTCCAGACCTAGAAGCCGAGGCAGAAACCAAAGAGAGCGAAACCCGGAAACAAAAACTTGTTACTCTTCCACGGTCCGACAGCATTGGGAGCAGTTCTGGGCGGAAATATTTAGCACCGACGCTGTCCGACCCTGCTGCTAGAACCGAGAAGGAACGAGTCACCACGAAGAAAAAGAACAATCGACAAACAGGTAGCGGCTTATCCTAATATCTAGTTGAATCAATTTTGTGGTTGTAGTTGTGGTGAACAAGAATTTTCCGCACTTGAACGAGACGAACGAGGCCAACAGGATGCCGAGGGAAGTTTTTAACAACAAAACGACACTTCCGAAAGCTTCGAATGCCATGCACGAGATACGGGATTGGTGGAATGAGCAATTGGCGTATCAGTCGCAGTCGAGCGATGAAGAGTAGTTACGTTTGTAATGATAAATGTCTTATATTGTAATAGGATGTGTATATATTTTATATGCAGAGTATTGTATATTAGGTTGCATAAAACAAGGAGCAAAATTGATGTGTTTATTTGAAAAAAACTTGGTACAGAATTGTCATATAACTGCTGTAGATGCAGTATGCTGATGTGTTGACGGTATCCACATTTTCCCTTAAATCTGGTGATATTTCACTTGGATTTACTTATAAGAATTATTTAAAAAAGAATTTATTGTATTATAGGAGCTAGAGGAGTTTGCTCTATTTAACTTTATAACAATTTTTATTTTTAAAATTTTGTTCAAGTTCTTCCAATGAAAGTGTTCCAATGAAAATCAAAGTCAATGGCAATTTCTGTTGTCCATAACTATTATTAATTAACAATAAATAAGTACTATTTTTAGTAAATATGGTAATTCTCACTGGAATCAACGAAAAGCAAAATCACTAGATAGTTTTAACGTTGGTATCTCACTTCGTCTATACATTTCTAGGTTTATGGTGTAGGAAACTTTAGTAATTAGAGTGATACTGACAAATAGGTAAGTAATCACAATCAAAATTTTACATTAATTTTTGTAACAAATCTTTATGTTGATCAATTTAAAATTGATTCTGCTTATGCAACCAACAATACAGTAGTATACATAAAATTATGTCACGAGGATGTTTAATTTTGCGGTATATTTTATCAAAGTATTTAAGTGCTGTTAATAAATGATGCATGTTTAAGTATTTTTATTTTTTTTTCGGCCAAACAAAGTTGTTAGACTGATAAAGTTCAAGTTTAGCGCTTTATTGTGTTACCCAAATTATGTTGTAAAATTATAATTACACACACCAAAAATTAACACTATGTTTGAACATGAAGTAATGTAGTAGTTGTTATTGCAACATAATGGAAAATATGAGATGGTAAATTCCATATTATGACTGTGCCTGGACCAGTAAAGCATTGTATTTTTGTATTATTTGATAGTGATAAAGTTATTTGAAGGAATTTGTTATTTTATAATTTCTAAATGAACTCTTTTTTCTATATGTCTGTTTGTCTTCTGTTGCTTATTTATAATCAATTTTTCTTATAAGGCATAGTTAAGAGTGACGCATATGTCCGAAGATAATAATAATAACTCAGTAAATCATTTACTTGAAAATGTCAAAAAAGTAAGTAATGATTTTTTTCTCTTGGGTTTTCAGTTTAGATTTATAATACAATTTTCTAGCTAAACACTTTAGAATGTTCCTAACATAGTAAGTAAAATAAAAAGGGGCGTTTTTTGTACCACAGTACGGATGTGAAACGATCCACTTACCTCAAACTAGCTTCTTGAAATAAAAAAAATTTCTTAGCAATTTTCGAAATATATAGAACTTTAGACGGTTAAAAGCTCAGTACAATGTGTAATAAAACTAATCAAGGTTATGACAATCCACATTTTCCAAATCCTAAATGACGCAAATATCGTTAATTATAAAGTAATTAGTCATTAAAGCTTAAACTGTATACTAATCACGGCACAACTATTCTAAAACAAGACGCAAAAATGTCGTTTATGAATATTTTTTGATGATGACTAATAAAACAAGACACATCAAACAAACTCGAGTTGTTACGGCTAAATTTATTAATCACGCAAATTAGAGACTTTGTTATCAATTTGTACAAGACTTAAAATACTTGGATGATTACTTTTGTTAATGCATCATCATAAAATACATATCCTAGAGTAATTAAGCAAACAAACCCTAAAACTATTGATAAAAAAATGTATTTAAATTCCGGACCGACCAGTGTCCACTTGTCAGTAAAATGAACTCTGTTCTCTTCGCTATACAGCTTATTGTGGTCTCTGCGGTGTCAGCGGCACCCGCTGAACCTTCGCAGAAAGACCAGAACACCTTGGTACTTCTCCATGTGGTAAGTTCTTAATTAACCTCTAAACCATTTTTAACCCAATTCTTAGTTGTTCAGACACGGCAACCGAACTCCTGATAAACTTAGCTTGTTTCCTAACGATTTGTATTTGAACGAAACCTACACACCCATTGGGTATAGTCAACTCACCACAGTACGTAACCTATTTTGTCAAAGAACCCTTATAATTAGTGTCTTTGTAGAAAGGAAAACAAACTGAATATGAAATCGGGAAATTTATACGTAAAACGTACGACAAGTTCATTCCGGATCAGTATACTCAAAATCTTGTATACGCGGTATCTACCAATTTTAAAAGAACTAAGATGTCTTTGGAACTAGTTCTTGCATCGCTTTTCCCTCCACTACCTGAAGATCAGTTTGACAAAGATTTAGACTGGCAACCAATACCGTTCAACATTGAACCTGGAAAGGGGGTGATAACCATTGCTTCTGGTAGTTGTCCATTGTACATCAATGCTTACTGGAGCTACGTTATGTCGCAAGAAGCTCAAGATATTATAGCTGGTTACCAGCAGCTGTATGACACAGTAGGCAAAGATGCGGGTTTTGACATCATCACACCCAAGGATATATCCAACGTCTATTTCACCCTGAAGAGTGAAGTAAGTGTTTGTGTGTTAGTACTACCGGTAGATCATTTTGCCACTTTGTAGGAAGACTATGGGTTAAAATTGCCAGATTGGTCAGCCGACGTTTACCCAAAAGTTCTAGAAGAAGCGTCGTCTGTGGATTATGAATTTTCAACCGCTACTTCTAGACTGAAGAAACTATCAGCTGGTACTTGCTCTAGATTCTTATTTAATGTAGGACTAATCTGTGTTTTTGTCAGGATTCTTACTAAGAAAAATCATCCAAGACAGTTTAGCTAAGAAGGCCGGTACTCTACCAGACGAGCGCAAGTTGTTTTTGTACTCAGCTCACGAATACAATGTTGCCACAACGCTGCGAACTCTAAATGTCTTTTGGAGACATGTGCCACCATTTGGAGCAACTATATTTTTTGAAATACACGATATTGAAGGAGAGTACGGTTTGAAGGTATAGTATGTTAGTTTTATTTTGAAAAGACAATTAAGAGTTTTTTTTCAGTTGTACTATCAAGATTACACAGAACCAAAACCGAAGCTGTTGACCATTCCTGGGTGTACCGCGATTTGTCCCCTTGATAAACTCTATGAGTTGGTGGGTGATGGCATCCCGGACGATTCAGACGTTTGCAGTATTACTGACGAAATGATGTAATGAGTTTTGTACTCGAATAAATTACAATTATAAACAATTTTTTTGTCTCATTTTGCCATGTTCATAGAAACGTAGAACAATTTCGCATGGTTTAAGCTTTTTACGTTCTAATCTAAATACTATACCATGAAAATGGTTAAAAATGACAAATAAAAGAAAGTAAACACGATCAACCTAAAGGAATATTTTTAGATGACCATACTGGAAACAGTTTCTTAAATCGTCATATGTCATGGTACTTTCTAAACATATTTTGCTCCAACTATATCAATCATATTACTGTGATTTTATAGTCTAGATCCCTAGACAAAAATCGAAACAAGAGAGCACAAAGAGTAACTAGTAATTTGATCATTAAATTTATTGCTGAATTTCAAACAAAAATATCAGATGTTCAGTTGAAAAAGTCATCATCATAACGATGACGTTGATTTTGTAAAACTTAATCGATTACAACAGTTGATACCGCAGAATGGTACAACCTAACCTCGCTTTTTCGTATAATAAAATTAATACTTTTCAACAATTCTGTCAAATGTCACTTTTTTATTCTGACTACAGGTGCTGAAAATACATGGAAGTAGAATATGTTGAATTACACAATTATAAAAACCAAAATTCGTTGCTGGATAAAATCATAAAAATTGAAAAAGGTATAGTGGACCAAGAGCTATAAGGTTATATGGCCATCATAAAATCATCCCATTGTGTCGAAGTTAAGTTGTTTACAATAGAAAATATTTTAGGGTCGTAAATAACGTGTCCACTGCAGCTCGACCGGCTATTATGGTTTCGTTCAGGGGCGGCTTTCACTAAATATGAAAATCCACCACTCCACTATTTCTTTACTATCTGCAGCCGCTGAGGGTTCCGAAATAACCACTCGCTCTGAAAGCCGGCCCTGTTAAATGTGAGCAAGAAATGTTTAGAAGACGATTTATTGCCAACCGGTAAGCTTAGTGCGAACCACACAAAGGGGGTATTTATTTGCGGTCAACTACTTTTATGATGGTCATATAACCCTATACCTTTTGGACAAGTATATCTAGATATGTCAAAACATATTTTTGGAATATTTTTCAATAAATATAAATGAAGATAAGGTAAACTGGTGGCTAATGCAAATAAAAATTTAAATCGTTTAATAAGTTTTCTAAAAAACATATCTGATATCTTAAATAAATAGTTTACAATGACTTTGATGTGTTTAGAAAATTACCTTGTCATTAAGATTTCACCAAAATCCTCTGATGTGTTTAAAAAATTAGCTTATCACTACAAGGATTGCGCTAAAATCCTTTTGATGTTGGTTTCGCTATGACATAACACCACCAGTCTGATAAATTACAAGTCATTCTCTCTATGATATGACAAAACGCATTTTTTTTTAATTTGGTAACATATCTGTAAACATTTGAACTTTGTAACCTGCTTCTGTTCTATTCTAGCATATTGTCTCTTATATTCTGTTACCTGACATGACGGAAAATAATTATTAAAATACTTTCAAAAATTGTACTTTTCCATTTTTTCGATACCGAACTTATCAAAATTCGACAATATTTTGTACTGAAAGATCACTGAACTTTCTAAAATTTCATGACTTTTGCTTTCATGGTGACTAGCAAGTATGAATTTTGTTTTTTACAGTTCATTAAATACAAAAAGCAAGTTTTCTGTCGCTGCCTACTTGTCACTCCTCATTTGTTGGGAATTTAAATTGTCTTCAAATATCGTGTAGATTTTTAATTAAAATTTATTCCTATTTTCTTTTCTATTATCTTTAATTTGGCACGATTTTTTGTCGGATACCATTTTATAAAAACTAAAATTTTGAACGACTTAAAAAATAACAAGGTTTTTAGTAATAATAATTTAACAATAAAGCCTAACAAAAGCAAATTTGAGCACTGTTTAAATGTGCGTTATGGAAAATATCTCAGTATGACAGAAGATATTCAACAAAAAGAAACACTTTGACACCAATTTTCAATCGATTTTAACCATTTTTTTTAATTTTTAAAATTTTAAACTGACTTCCAGTTGTTTGACTAAATTTCGTGAAGTCTATTTCGGATTCATAATTGACAAAAGATTATTTTCAATTTGACACCAATTTTCAGTTGATTGAATCCTTATTAAGAATTTTTTGGAAAAATTTTGAAAAATTTAAACTCAATCATTTATTTGAATATATGTTGGGCCGGCGAATTTGGATTCGTAATCAGTGGAAGATTATCTTCAATTTGACACCAATGTCGATTGAGCCCATTTTGAGCACTTTTTGGAAAAATTTTGAAAATTTTAAAATCCTTTTCACGTTTGTTTGACTAAATTTCGTAAAGGAGATTTGGAATTCGTAATTAGAGGAAGGTTATTACAATTCGACACCGATTTTCAGTCGATTAAATCCTTTTTGACCATTGTTTTTGGAAAATTCTCACAATTTGAAACTCACATTTCACATGTATTTGGATAGATGTTGTGATGGCGAGTTCGGATTCGTAATTAGCCGAATATTATCTATATTGGACACCAATGTAGATTTGAAATTTGTTATTTTTTTTTATTTTGAATTCACTTTTGACGTTTGCTTGACTAAATTTCGTGACGAAGATTTCGGATTCGTAATTGGAGGAAAATTATTTACAATTTGACACTAATTTTCAGTACATTGAACCCATTTTAACCATTTTTTTTTATTTTGGAAGTTTTAAACGCATTTTTCACGTTCATTTTCATAACGGTGGTTTCGGATTCGTGAGTGGCAGAAGATTATCTACAATATAACATCAATTTTCAGTCCATTGAATTCATTTTAAGCATTTTTTTGAAAAAATGTTTGAAAATTTAAGACTCACCTTTTACGTTTGTTTGACTAAAGTTTTGTGACGAAGATTTTAGATTCGTAATTGGCAGCGATTTGACACTAATTTTCAGTCCATTGAAGCCATTTTACAATTTTTTTCGAAAAATTTTGAAAACTTTAAACTCATTTTTTACGTTTGTTTGACCAAATTTCGTAACGGAGATTTAGAATTCGTAATTGGAGGAAGGTTATCTTAAATTTGACACTAATTTTTAGTAGATCATTTTAACCATTTTTTTGGAAACATTTTGAAAGTAACTTTTTTTTCACGTTTATTTTCGTGACGGCGATTTCGGATTCGTGAGTGACGGATTACACTATGCAACAAATTAAAAAAAAATAAAATTCACAGAATGCACAGTATGTAGTTAAAATTTCTTACCTCAAACTCAATTGAGGATTATGCTTGAAAGAATCGTATCACATCAGGTTTCAAAATGAAAAGTGTTTATTAAATTTTTTGAAATCATACAAAATTAATAAAACAATACTTCATTTTTCATTGAAAAAGATCTTTTTTTTTCGAACGATTTGCATTCCTATTGTAGCCAGATCTCACAGTATCCCTCTGAAGACACCAACAGAAGTCTACAAGCATGGGTGGATACATAAAAGCGATATTTTTACGATTAACTGCAATCAAGTGTCCCAAAAAGTAATAAAAACAAAACACCCGTTATCTATGTTTTGCGATGTGATATGGGTATAAAACATTTTTTTCTTTAGTATATGGAGTATAGGTACCCAACCTATCACATCAGGTTTCAAAATGAAAAGTGTTTATTGAATTTTTTTGAAATCATAAAAAAATTAATAAAACAATACTTCATTTTTCATTGAAAAAGGTCTTTTTTTTCGAACGATTGGCATTCCTATTGTAGCCAGATCTCGCAGTATCCCTCTGAAGACACCAACAGAAGTCTGCAAGCATGGGTGGATACATAAAAGCGATATTTTTACGATTAAATGCAATCAAGTGTCCCAAAAAGTACGAAAAACAAAACACCCGTTATCTATGTTTTGTGATGTGATATGAGTATAAAACATTTTTTTCTTTAGTATATGGAGTATACCCAACCTCAAACACTACCTAAACTTTCTGTGAATTTTTTAGTGTTGCATAGTGTTATTATTATCTACATTTTGACACCAGTTTTCAGTAGATTGAATCCATTTTAAGCATTTTTTGGAAACATTTTGAAAATTTGAAACTCACTTTTTTACGTTTGTTTGACTAAATTTCGTGGCGGAGATTTCGGATTCGTAATTGGAGAAAGCTTATCTACAATTAGACACTAATTTTCGGTCCATTTTAAGCATGTTTTTGGAAAAATTTAGAAAATTGTAAACACACTTTTCACATTTATTTGAACAGATGTAATGGCGATTTTGGATTTGTAAATGACGGAAGATTATTTACAAATTGATAAAAATTTTTAGTAGATTGAACCCATTTTAACCATTTTTTTTTTGGAAAAACATTAAAAATTGTGAACCCCATTTCTACATTATAAATTCTTAAATGAAAATTTATTAAAACAATTTTAGCACATTTGGTCCAGTAGTTTCTAAAGTTATAAAACTGCCAATAAACAACGGACGGACAAAAGACGACAGACAGACGGTAACGGGAGATCTACTTTTTCATATTTGAGACGTTATATAATGTAGATAAATTAAAAATTAACTTATTCGTGTTTTTAAAAATAGCAACAAAATTGTTAAACCACGTTTCATTTGAAGTTTAGATTCCAAGGCAGATTTACGGAGATAACATCATGAATGTTGCGGAAAGAATGACGAATTTTGCTTATCATTTCTATAGTACGAGTTGTAAATTTCTTAGAAAAGATGAAATAATAGGACATCTTTTCAAACATTGCACAAAGTCTATGGTGTTTTTAAATTTAAATTACTTGTTGAACAAATACTTCAATACATTAGTATTTTTGTTTTTTACTGCTCTTATGGTCTTCTATTTTTTTTTCATGTCAACAAAACAAAATATAAGGAAATGTAATTTTTATTTGTAACTGGATCAAACAAACAAGATGTTTAAAAACATCAACAAATTATACATTTCAACTTGGTAAACTTGGTAATTTAGAAAACTTCATCTGTTGAACTACACACATCGCTCTCTCCAGGTAAAACATCTTCAACCAACCTGTAGACATCGTCAAGCGGGCAGAAACTCAAACAACCAGGAATTGTCAAAAGTTTTGGCGTGAGTTGAGTATAATCTTGATAAAATAGCTGAAACAACAAAATTAGAAACTCGTATCATTACCACTCCCCAATATTCACTTTTAGACCATAAACCCCGTTAATGTTATGAATCTCAAAATAAATGGTAGCCCCAAACGGCGGCACATGTCTGTAGAAAACATTCAAAGTCCTCAGCATCGTAGCAACGTTGAACTCGTGAGCTGAATACAAAAAGACTTTCCGTTCGTCTGACAACGTGCCATTTTGTTTGGAGACGCTGTCTTGTAAAATCTTCTTAAGCAAGAAACCTACAACAAAATAGTACTATTTGTACGCGAAAAATAGTTTATAGTACCAGCTGATAATTTTTTCAAGGTTGGATTAGCTGTGGAAAATTCGTAATCAACTGAAGCAGCTTCTTCCATCAAATCGGGGTAAAGTCCTTGAGTCCATTCGGGAACTTTCAGACCATAGTCGTCCTTGAAACAACAAATCAGTACCTTTTTTTTTTGAAAAAATGACTTTAGTACCTCGCTCTTCAAGGTGAAGTAAATTCCTGAAGCTTGTCTTGGTGTTCGTACTTCCGCACCAGAGAAGGTACTCAGTTCTTGGTATAAATTTTTGTAACTGTCACAGATTTTTTGGGCCTCTTTAGATAACAGGTATTTGAAATATGCATTGATATAATTTGCGCAATATAAGGATGCCACTCCAAGGATTCCTTCAGCCTGTTCAATGTTGAATGGAAGAGGCTGCCATGGCAACAAAGGCACAAATTCGTCTGTTGGAAGAGGAGGGAAAAGTGCTGAAAGCACCAGTTCTAGGGACATTTTGGTCCTTTTCATGTTTGTAGATATTGCGTAAACCACATCTGGAGTGTACTGTGCTGGGATAAGATTCCCGTACTGTTCGCGAATGTATTTTCCAATTTGGTACTCAGTGAGTTTTCCTTTCTGTTAACGATATTATAAATCAAAATCAGCATTTTTTTCTACTAAACCACTTACTAGAGTCAACTGGCTGTATCCAATTGGTTCGTACGTCTCAGATAAGTATGGGTCATTGGGATACAGACTCATTTTATCCGGTGTTCTGTTTCCATGTCTAAATAGCTACACTTTGTGTAAAAAAAATAGAATTGTAACTCGTCTATAACTTACCACGTGAAGTAGCACTAAAGTGTCGTCTTCGCCCTCTACCGTGTCGACCAAACTTACTGCTAAGAAAATCGCGATTAAGTTAAAAAGAGTGATCGCGATTTTGGCCATCTTGCTAGAGTTGGGAATTCTGGACGATGCAAACTATTTAAACCAATGTGAACAATCTTTTTATTGTGGTCGATTAAATAATTATAAAGAAAGAATTGCCGGTAATAAGCTTTTGTTTGCTTACATTTTCATAAAAAATAAATTACTCTTCTTATGATGTCTAACAAAGAATTAGAACTAAGTCGTTTTACGATGTCCTAAAACTGTTGTCTAAGTAAATGTTTTATTTTTCATTTATATGTGTAAATAGATTGATACTCTAATATTGTTGTAACTGTTAGATCTTCAATGTCAAGGGGGTCAGTGTTATCTGTGCTTATTCACTTTATGGCGTAAATGAGAAGCTTGAGAGCTTAAGATTATTGTGGTTAGTAAACATTTTTTGGGAAGGAACATGCACATGATTGAAAAGGAAAATTTTAAAATGGGTTTTTACACCAAACCCTAAATAATTCTCAAAAATTATTTGTCTCTTCCTCGCAGAAACTATTATGGATTAAAATAAAACATTGGTATCTGGAATATAGTTTAAAAATTATTCTAATTTTTGTCTACCAATTTCAAAATTATGACTTCCAAAAGAAGAAATATTTATATGGTTTTTGCCTTTTACATTTCTGGACTTTTCATTTGTATGTTGTCTGTCGGAAATTTTTGAAGACGTAATTTTTTGAGAAAAAAATACCATTATTTTTATTCAATTTGTTTCCTTGCGTTTTGAACTCTGATTTTTTGTTCTTTTCAAGGGAAAAATCAATTATTTTATCGTGCTGGCATGTTTGCAGTTATAGTAAGATGCTACCATACTAAATAGATTGCACACTGATATAAACGCATTTTTTTAAGAAACCATAAACTCAGAACAGGAAGTGGAGACAGCCGAGGGTCATAATTTACGATTTTTTCTGCTTATTTGGTAAATTTAGCTCGAAATCACCCCTTAAGGAGAATGATGTTAGTTGTAAATGATCTTTGTAAGCATGAAACATTTAATTTATTTGATAGTTCAAAACAAGTGTTTAAGAAGAATTTAAGATTAATTTTGAAATAGTAAAGTTTTTAATGTAGTATTTTCTAATGAATATAATAATAATTATAAGTGTTAAGTAAGAATTATTATTATTTTTGTATTATGCTTGTGCCATTATGTATATTTTGTAATGGATTTCCGTTAATAAATTATTAAATTAAAAAAATTAAATTAAATTAAACTTGCATAATTTTTTGAATGCAAAAAAATATTTCTTGGCATTTTATAATGTAAAAGAGAACGAGATTTTCTTAATACTGTATACTGAGAATAGCGTATGGGGGCAAATGACGTACATACCCTGTAAGAAAATAAAGGGTGGGTGGGCGGGGCTAGTACTTGTTAAGATAAGACTAATTTTGGTAAATGACATATCCTCCAAAAAAAGGATGGGTGGGCGGAGCTAAAACTTGTTAAGGTAGGACTAAACACTATTAAAAGTAGTCACTGGAAGGAAGAAGGGGTGGGTAGTAGTTTAGCCCAACCTACTTACTTTCTCCATTTCACTGACTTATTTTTTTTTAGTGTAAAATGGAAATTGAAAAATAACAGTATTGTAGTCTCAAAATTTTCTGGGAAAATGAAGTGAACCGTTCCTGATTTAATTAATCAAATAAATTGACTCATTTATTAATTTTCTTGAGCCACCTGTATAAGCAAATCTAAAAGCTATGAATGCAGTGATACATTAATCACAAGTAAAAACTCATGATACTTTGCACATTTTAGATGAGATTTATTCGGCAAAATTTTGAGCTGACGTCATCAATTTTTTGATTATTTATTTTGATTAAAAATGTATCATGCTTATCATAACTTTACAAGATCTGCAAGATTTCAAAGCATTCGGTTTTACAGATTCAAAATTAAATAGCAAAATATTGTTTTATAATTTAGATTTTTTTTTCCAAAAATTTTGGACGTTTCGGGTAAAAACTTAACACGGAGTCATAAACTACATGTATAGGAATCTGTTATTTTATACAATTTAAAATCCATTTACTACGTACAAATTTGAAGTGACGTCATCACATTATTGATGGGGTTGATTAGATCAATTTTGATTACATAATGCTACATGACATTCCTAATATAAATACAAAATTTAACAATAATCGACTCGGTACTTGCGGAGATGTCTAATAAAAATCCGGGGCGACAGATACACGGACAGACGGACAGACGAAGAAACAGACAGAGAGACGGAAACGGAAGACCTATTTCTTCGTACTTTAGGGGTCATGAAACGTCGATAAACGTCTGCTGAAGTAAAAAATATAGGTAATAATTACAATACTTTCTTCACTGACACTTGGGAAGTAAAATCTAAAACATTACAATTTTCTCCAACCGGTATTTCAGTTTTTGCAAATAGAGTACCTTTATTTTTTATTTCTGGATCGTACTTCATTTTTTGCTCTTTTTTCCAATATGTCGTTTTCTCTCATAAAAGTAAAAAATTTCAGGAACTGTCAACTTTAGATATAGCAAATATTTAAGAAAAAAGAAAAAGGATAAAAGCAAAATAAAACTATTATTATCTATATTTTTTTAACTTATAGGTGTTATCATAAAAAATAAAATGTCGCAAAATCAAGGTTTGCCAAATTTTTTTCTCAAGAAATTCAACCTCATCAACACTATAAAAAAATTATTTACACATTTTTTTTCATATAAATGATGACGTCACGTTATAATTTTGTTAAATTACAAGTATAGAAACGTGTTATTTTATAAAATAAAGTAGTAAATTTTAGCTAGTAAAAATTTGAGATAACGTCATCGTATTGTTTGTGCAGATGACGAGACAAATATTCCTAAAATAAATCTAAATTTCAAACTAGTTCAGTTTCGGCGATTGTCTGCCTAATAAAGTCGCCAACTGACGACAAATACACGTAAACGGAGAACATACTTTTTCAAACTCTAGAGGTTACAAAACGTCGAGAAAATATAAACTTAGTCATTTGCCAAGTGGATAGATAAGACTGGTGGCTATTAATGACTTATAAGCGCGTTCTGCGCCCATTCCAAACATTCCTTATCGATGTACTTTTTAAAATGCAAAAACCTCTAAGACAAAGTATTTATGGGAAGTAAAATATGTTGCCTATTCATAGATATCCAGGCGTGAACAGATAAAAAATAATCACCTGTACCATGGAGGTCCCTCCACGCCCTATACATACCGTACTAAAACTGTAAAGATATAGAGACTTTTGCGTCTACAAATGCAGTTATGATGTATAAGCGTAACGTCCAGTATATATGAAAAAAAAAAAAATAATAAATTATATCTCTATAAATCAGAATGCAATGTTCTCTTTTTTGAAAAATTCACGTGTAGTGCGTGATTTTCCGCACACAGATCGTTTAAATTCCCATTGATGAACGTTGACTTCTCGTAAAGTCTTTCTTAAAGAAGTAGCTCAGGAAAGATCAAACTTGCTGCACGACCAACTTTTAACAGCCATGGAATCTGCAATCTTTTGGGTCGAACATGTGATTCGCCATCGCGGAGCTCCCCACCTAAAAACAGCAGGAATCGATTCGAAATGGTACCAGAGAGAAATGGTAGACGTCATTGTTTTCTTACTAGCAGTTGTGACCATAATGGTATTTGTAATTTGCATTGCACTTAAGAAATTATGGTATATTTTAAACCATAGTGAAAACGTCATTACTCAAAAGAAGAAAATTCAGTAGGTACCTAGTTTGATTAAAAAAATGCAGTAACTCTTACTATAATGGTGCAGGTGATTGTACATGCATGTCGAAAACTCAAACTTTTCACTTTTAATTTAAGTTGGTATTATTTGTGAGACCAAGGTTAGTCGCTCCGATATAGATATAGTTAAGCAGTTGTATCGTTGTATATATATATATATATATGTAATATATGTAGATACCTATTTATCGTTCTCATTCAACTCTTAAACCAACAGGATGACTTCCATTTTGTAGGTGTATACTTGCTGTCATACCTCCATCGTTAAAGGCTTCAAACAAACGCAAAAAATACGTTTTAATGCTTTGACACATTTCTTGCCATTGTTTTAGAATTGTGTTTTTTTTTAGAATTTTAGATCATCATTGTTAATTCTAGTTTAAATTAAAAAATAAATGTTAGTAAAATTTTAACACGTAAAAAATAGAAGTTCTTATAACCTCAATCCCCATTGTTGTGTTTCCAGAACGCTAATTTCGATCCTTCCCCCGCATACCAAGTATTGTCTTAGTTATACCTAGATATATAATGCGTGAATTATTATTATTATTATTATAAATATTTTCTTTTAGTAAAGAATGACAGCATTCTTTTTATGACTTAACAAAAGAAATTGGTTGACAGTCTATAAAAATAAAAACAACTTCCAAGTTCCATGTATTTGCTACGCAAATATGACTTTCAAAATTTTCCACACATAGAGTTTCGGTCTATTTATACTGGTAGTTATCACACATTACTAACCTTTATCGTTAACTTGTAAAAACAAGAGAAGATAGATTAATGGTCCGCATACTATTATGTAATCTAATGCGGACAGTATCGAATGCCGCTTACCGCACACCAGATGTTTTGTCAATTAACCGATATGAAATTGTCAGTGGTTACGGTGTTCGTCTGCATTTTTTGCCATATAAACAGTTCAAAAATATTAGTGATAACCTCTATGCCGTCCTACAGTCATTTTACTTTGGCATTCCGCTTGGCCAAAGAATTAGCCGATAGAGAACACGAAGTAAGTTTCATCAACCCATACCCTCAGAAAACGCCAATAAAACATTTGAAGGATATTTCAATAGAAGAAGTAAAACCATTTGTCGCAGGTGAGTTATGTTGAAATACCATATGTACTCCACAATAAAACAATAATGTATACACAGAAGTGAGAAAAACTTTCGCCGCATTGGGTGAATGGGGATCAATTGGAAGCCATTTAATAGACCTGCGTTTAAGTGTAGGTTTAATAGAACATACTTTCAACAGCACCAACGTTCAGAATTTATTGAATTCAGAAGAATCGTTCGACGTAGTTGTTATTGAACACTTCATAAATGAACCACTCGTTGGAATTGCTCATCATTTTAAAGCTCCTGTAATATTTTTAGCACCAGTAGCCTCATGTTTTCGAAACAATTATATATTTGGTAATCCTGGTCCTTCTTCTTACGTACCAGACATCTTAGGAATTTACACAAAACATATGAACTTTTGGCAAAGGTTAAAAAATTTCATTATGATGAGTTTTCATGATCTGTGGAGAGAACTTGTGATGATTCCGAAATATAGAACTTTGTTTAAAAAATACACTAAAACTGATTTCGAACTTGACGATGTCCTGTACAATGTGAGTTTAATTTTAACCACTTCACACCCTAGCATCAGTGACGCTGTTCCTCATTTTCCTAATATTATTGAAATCGGAGGCTATCACGTGTTTCCACCAAAAAAATTGTCGGAAGATTTACAGGACTTTTTAGATACTGCTACAGAAGGGGTTATTTTGTTTTCCATGGGTTCTAATCTAAAGAGCAAAGATTTGACTTTGAATGTGCGAAACGCAGTACTGAAATCTTTCGCAAAAATAAAAGTAAAAGTATTGTGGAAATTTGAAGACGATTTGTTAGAAGCGCCTAGCAATGTGAAGATTATGAGCTGGTTGCCTCAGCAGGATGTTTTAGGTAAGTAAGTATGTATAGACACAAAAAAATCGCAATCGTGGTAAACTTTTTTAGCACATCCAAATATAAAATGTTTTATCACTCACGGAGGATTACTGAGCACGATAGAAGCTGTCTATCATGGAGTTCCCTTAATTGGCATTCCGGTTTTTGGTGATCAGAGGAGTAACGTGGCAGCAGCCGTCAATAGTGGATATGCTGTAAGCGTGCCTTTGGACGAATTAACCGAGGAAAATTTTTCGGCAGCGTTGAGCGAAATTCTTTATAATGCTAGGCAAGCCATTCGATCACTCTGGAAGTAACTACATATATCGTTTGTTAATGATAATAATTTTTAGATACAGAAATAATGTAAAACAAAGATCCAAAATAATGCACGATCAACCCTTGAAGCCTATCGATTCTGCCGTTTATTGGATCGAGCACGTCATCCGACACAAGGGAGCGGTGCATCTTAGATCATCTGGAAGTGATTTAAAGTGGTATTCTAGAGGAATGATTGATATTTTGACGTTTCTTGGATTCACCATACTAATATCGACACTAGTAGCGTACTCAATTTTAAAAGCTTGTGCCAAAAAACTCTTTCTTAGAAAGAAAAAAGCAAAAAAGAGTTCATCCAAAATTAAGAAAACCGGTCAACCATTAAAGTAAATCATGATAGATATATTACTCACATATCCTGGACGCAGCGTCCTTTATTAGTAGAATATTCTTAAACACTCTTTGACTACATACCTATATGTAGTTGTAAAATCTCTGTGTGGGTGTAATAAAATGTTCTGTTATAATTCACCTGTCATGAACTTCATTACAAAATAAATTTTATCGAAGATCACATGTTTATTTTGTTTTTCTGAATCATGTGGTGGCACCATTCGGACCATTTAGAAACAGAAATAGTTCAGAAGCGATTTTTCAAACTTGACCAATCTGGATTCATTCGCGGCCGACTTTCGCATGTGGAAGTTAACGGTGCACGTCACTGGATCAAGGGGCACATCTTGAAATCCATTACTTATGTATTTACACCTGTAATTTGCAACTCGCTCAGTTGATTTGTAAAAATTATAAGGATTCGAAAAAAATGGGTGGGGGGGAGGGTTAAAGATGAATCTGCGCCCAGTAAACACAGTTACGTCGTAGCCATGTTAATGCCACTTAACTCTGTCTACGATCTTGATAGCTGTTACATCCCAAACTGCGTACATTTGCTTTCCCTGTGCTATGTAATGTAATCAACAGTGACCCATACTTGTAACATACTGGTGACATCCACATTGTTTCAGACTAGAGACGTGCTCGCTAGTACATTAACATAACGTTGTGTTAGTATGTCGCTAGATTCTCTATATTTTGATGTATCTGTTACGTTTTATTTTAAACGCCAATATAACGTATTAAATGGGCATAGACGTTACGTATATATCGCAACATCGTAAACATATGACTCTCAGTATATTTTATTAACATGATCTATGCGATATGAATAGGCATTTTAAAAAGTCTAGTTACCATTTAGGGATATGGATATGGAGAGTAAAATTTAGAGCTTACAGTAAATTATTATTTTATTCAATGTTTGAAAAAATATAATATGTAATAAGTAATAAAATACAAAAATTAATATAAATTCATAATATAAATAAATAAATATATATATATGATTTCCTAATTCGAAAATAATACAATATAATTTACATTTAAAAAAGGGCACAGAAACTGTAAACTGTCGTTGTTTTTTCTTTCTTCAGGCGTTGACGAGAATGTCGTAGCCACTCTGAGCAGCGTTGTTCTACTTCTTTTTCTATTGCAGAATGGATCTTCATTGTAATTTCTTCAAAAATAAAAATTGTAATAATTATATTTATTGCAAAAAAAACCTTTCATGATATTCATTGTTTTCGCCCCAGCCATTTTGGAATTTTCCTACCGAACAAACAAGCTACAGCAAATTCGCAGAAAATTTATTTTTTTAATACACGCCCTACATTGTTATTTTCCCATTACCACCTATCTGGGACAATAGCAGTTCCTGAAATAAGAAAAGAAGAAAATATTTTTATGTGTATATAACGAGTGACTCTGAAATAAGTTCGGAAAATAAAACCACAACATCACAAAGTAGAGAAAATTTTAAGTAATTTCTTTTATCTAGTCCAAATTCAGGGGAAAAAATATCAAGATCTACACCTCATTCAGTACGATTTGTTTTCATCTAAGCAACACACAGCAAAAACAAAGAAAAAATTTAGTCACAATGGAAACTGAATAAATCATTGCCGCTTCATTTACATTTAACAAGATGTTCCGTATTTGTTTCTTGAAACTGGAGCAGCAATTTAATTACTTTGAATCCGTGTGACAATTAAAGAATTTTTTTCCGAATCTATTTGGAAGTCACCGCGTATGTATAACATACAGGGTGCTTCACTATAAGACTTTTCTGCAACCCACTATGTATGTAACGTGTTAAGCGAAATGTGTCATGTTTAGTAGGTTCCTAAAAAGTGTTATAGTATTACAGGCATCTACCTGTATATAATATCCAAAATTATGTTATATGTAAGTACATATAAATTTATTGTATTTTTTTAACTTACAAAGAAACCTGCTTGTTGTAGTAGGCAGAGATAATCTTCTAATTCCTCAAAATTTGTTTACTTGTGGTCTTGGCGGCATATCTTCTATTACTGTTTTCTTTTTGATTTGTCACATTTGATGACGTTTTCATATTGGAGATTTGTTCACTCGTTTCCTTTAGAATTTCTTTTGTTTCGCACATATTTTTTGTATTTGTTTCAAGTCTAGAGTAAAATTATGTTCATTAGCACCTAGTTCATAAAAAATTGCAGTAACATACCTTTGCAACATGTTATGGCAAAGCGCCTCACTTTCAAAAACAATCACCGTAAGTTCTTCAAAATCAGCGGGAGTATCTTCAGTGATTAATGGTGGTATTTCCAGCTTATCTGAAAAAACTGTTGTTGTTATTTACGTACAGTTATCAAAAACAACAGAAGCATGTAAAAATTAAAATGATTACTTCATTAGAATTATATTAACTTACCTAGTGTAAATACAACCCACACTGAATGGCACAATTTTCACAAAACTGCATTAATTTTTTTGTAAGAGATTATATTACATTAAACATGGTGTGTACCCAGTTAGATCATATCCTAATGATATTCTCTTAAAAGAATTTAATCTTTGTACACTAAAGGCTAGAAGAACGTTTGGTAATATTTATTTTCTTTTCAAGCTAATTCATGGTATCATTGTAAACACCAAACTTCTCAACGATATCCATTTTCTAGTCCCGCGTCTAAATAGTCGACATCATGTAACATTTTCAATAGATACATGCAGAACAAACCAACATTATTATGCACCGTTAAATAATATATGCCGCTGTTACAATGTTGTAGCATCTGTCCTAGATATATTCCAATATAACGTAACGACATTTAGACGAAATTGTAAAAAACTTATATTGTGTTAATTAGAATTATATGTACTTATTCATGTTGTATCATAGAATATTTCCTGTTTGTATTTTTCTTTTTTCTTTTCTCTTTTTATAATACATGTAGTCGATTTTAGTAGGCATGTTATAATCATAATTATAATACTACAAAGCATTTATCCTGTTAGACTGTCTGTCTGTTGGATAATAAATACATTTATTTATTTATTTATTAAAAATGAAGTGAGTTACGGATTCACGAGAAAGGTTCGGTGGTTGTGAACCAAATGGCCAAATGGAATTCGACAGCTTCACTGTGAGTGTGAAGTGCAATAACCATAAATACGGAAAAAAGGGATCGTCCGACTCATAGACAAACCAAACCAACAAAGGTCCGACTGCACCCCCCAAACATCTGGTGGATAGTAAATGCAGAAGTTGAGCGTTATTTTTTCATTAGATGAAATTAATTTAATAAAATCAAAATTAACCACTCTTTAATTTTTTTGCTACCCATCGTCGCTTTATAAACGTTTTTATAAATTCAAAATTCGACGAATGAACTCTTCAAAACCTTGTCCCGTTTCAGGGACAATGGGCAAAGAATTTTTATGGCTTTGTTTGTGTTATTTGGTCTTCCCTATATTACCCCAGATGTTTAAGGTGACCAGACGTTCCGATTTGATCGGAACTGTACCGATTTCAATACTCTAATTCCGATTTCAAATTTCGTCCAATAAATGTTCCGATTAAAACATTCGTTCCGTGAAAGTTCCGATTTCTATAAATCTGATAAGAATAAAGATAAATCCTCGGATAAATCACTAATTTTCATGAATAGTAATTTTATTTTGTGAAAAATTGGGAACAAAACTTGTATCGAACGGTTGTCAGCAGATGTCAGTACTGTTAGTATATTACAACTAAAAATTTTCAAACCAGTTATATATCAGATTACGATGGAAATGGAAACTAATGTTCCGATTTCGGACTTTTGAAATCTGGTCACCTTACAGATGTTCTATTTATAATTTGCCAAGCAGGTACTTACAAAATAACATTTCAAGTGAACAAGTTTACAGAAATAATTCTTAGAAATTATTACAATGAAAAAACTTGTCTTTGGTGTATTTCTAATAAAGCCGTTGTAATTTTCGCTCTGAATATAATTATTAATTAAGCATTACGAACTCACTGACGAAGGTCACTTTTTAAAGAATACGACGACCCACATCTAATTGACCATATAATCTTTAACAATAAATTTCAAATAATACCATAGCGGTTTTTTTAAATTTTGATAAGGTGTTGTAAAACTATTTCTGTTTCTGTCTTCATTCCAGATACTGTATTTACGTGGGCAAAGGATGCCGTACGTGGGATTTTAGGGGCGGAAACGTATACCTGCTTAAATACTGTAAATACAGTGGTGTCGAACGAAGACAAAAACAGAAACATACCCGATGTATTGGTTATTAAATTATACATACACTCTATTACCGAACATTAAAAAAAGTCTACACTATTTCGTCATATCTGCTGCTTTATTATCAGTTTACAGTTAGCTACATAGTGGATATGAAATTAAGTGAATTTTTTGAATAAATAATAATTTAAAGATCAACCACGGAAATACTCAATTATAATTATACATTATACATTACCAGTTTATTTTAGAGCCCAAGATTATATTGGAAAAATCTAAACTTTTGAAAATTTAATGTTAAACAGATATACCTATAACTGAGTGCGAAAGTCAATACACAAAACTCGATGATCAGTTATTGTTTCGTATTCAAATTATTATTTATTTTCCTTACGATCAAAGTGAAGAAATTATTTAATTCATTTTTATTTAAGAACGATATCGCTGACCTTGAAATAGATTAGTTTTTTAATTTCGATTTTTTTCTTTGTGTTGCTTTTGTTGCCGATCAACATATTTTGCATTAGAATTAATAAAATAATGAAATATATCATTTTATTTTTCGAGCTCATTTCAAAATTCTGTATATGTATAATTGTTCCTTTTTGGCAGTGACGCATAGGCAGAGGTTAAAAAATAATGTCTCATTACTAGTCTTAATTCGTATTACCTGTTAGATGTTACATTTTTTAATTCTGATCATAAACTATGAGCATTAAGTCTCTTGTTCTGTTTTATAAAGCGCAGGTCGTTATGGACGTATAAAAATAAAATTATAAATAAATATAATTACAGGAAATATAATATGAAAAAAAAAAATAAGAGCAACTCACTATTGGCGTCATCTCGCTTGTGCAAGATTTAAGACAGGGAAGAAATTTCTTTTTTTAAGACTCAGCATCTTTTGTTTATGAATATACTATTTACTTGCAACACAAACATAAATAATAAATATAAAATAGAGCTATATAATACTCGATATGTATGTTTTTAAATGATTTTTGCTGATGCCCTGTCAGAAACTTTAATTTTCGATTTAACATGCCATTTTGTAAAATGAACTGAAAAACACTTTACATAATTAACTAATAAAAATAAAACATTCCGAAGCATGTATATATATATTAATCAGATATCTAGTAACTACAGTTAACATTACTTATTGGTTACATAACCGTAGTACTCCATTGTGATGTTACAAGGCTTACCTGCCAACTATATCGCTGCGACACAATAATGAGATATCTAGTAAATGCAGTTAACATTAGGTGTTAGTTACATAACAGGAGTACCACAATGTGATGTTTAAATGCTTATATGCAAGCTACATCGCTGCGACATAATAATGAGATATCTAGTAAATGTAGTCAACATTACGTGTTGGTTACATAGCATGAGTACTCCATTGTGATGTTATATAGCTTACGTTCCAGGTATATCGTTAAGACATAATCATGCGATGTACTTATTGTTCTTTTATGAGTACGTACCTGTCACGTCAACATCACAACTGTGTTTACTGGGGCCTTTTTCTCGCTCGTTTTAAGAGATGGTAATTGTTTATGGTTCAGGTGTTCCCAGAAATCTCATTTTGCTCAACATGATTCATCAGAATTTCATCGTCAAAAAATAAAGAGCCAAACAAGGCAATAACAAATAGCAAAAATTTATGCTTTGAAATGTGCAATGCATTTGTAGCAGCGAATATCCCTTGGATAAACATTTTTCTCGTTTATTTGAAGACATACGTCAAAAGCGAGTATGGAATCGTGTTCCTGGGGTGATTCCGCGTGAAATGACACCCAACATTGTCGAAGCGAACCAATTTTGAAAATTCGAAAAAAAGACAAATTTGCATTTTTCTCGCTTATTTGAAGAGATGCGACACAAGCAAATCCGGAAAAGTAATCATGAGGGAATTCCGCGTGAAATGACACCCAACACGGAAGAAAACGGACCAGTTTTGGAAAATAAAAAAAAAGGGGCACACAAATTTGCATTTTTCTCGCTTATTTGAAGAGATACGTCAAAACCGAATACGGAATCGTAATCCTGAGGAAATTCCGCGTGAAATGACACCCAACACGGTCGAAAACGGACCAACTTTGAAAAAAAAAGGGGGCACACAATTTTGCATTTTTCTCGCTTATTTGAAGAGATACGTCAAAAGCGAGTACGGAATCGTAATCCTGAGGAAATTCCGCGTGAAATGACACCCAACACGGTCGAAAACGGACAACTTTGAAAAATAAAAAAAAGGGGGCACACAATTTTGCATTTTTCTCGCTTATTTGAAGAGATACGTCAAAAGCGAATCCGGAATCGTAATCCTGAGGAAATTCCGGCCGTAGAAGTCACCCACACTTTCCTTTTTTCGAAAACTCCAATGGTTTTTCAGAATCGTGCTTTAGAAAGTACAAATCTATTCAAATAATAATAATAATAATAATATATTTAATAAAAAACATATACAACAGATATATATGTTAATATGCGTCAAAACAATACAATACAGAATAACGAAAAAAAGAAAGACGATTTACGTATAGTTACACACATTACAAAAAGTAGTCAGATAAACAGTAGCAGTTTTTTTCAAAGAGTAATTGCTTTACATTTCTCTTATAGGTGTGCACATTTTTTACATCCTTAATTACCTGAGGCAATGCATTAAAGAACTTACAGGCATTATAATGCAAACTTTTCTGATACAATGCAGTAGAGTGTTTCTCTGGTAATAAACGATCTCTGTTACGTGTTTCGTAATTGTGGTTATCCCCACACGTAGTAAAAAGGCTTTTATTTTTAAAAGCAAAGCATAACACTTTGAAAATATACAGACTAGGAAGCGTCAAAATTTTCTGATTTTTAAAATGATGTCGGCAGGAGTCTCGTTTCCTTATATTAACTAGAATTCTTATTGCCCATTTTTGAAGCTTAAATACTCTGACTGTTTCGGCTTCTGAAGATCTAAACCAGTATTCTACTCCATACATAATGATACTCTGAAAACAACCAAAGTACAAGGATTTTAAGATTTCTTTACCGCAGTGCAGCAATGCATTTTTTAACATATAGCAAACATGAGAAAGCTTTCCACAGATGATATCAATATGAGGTGCCCAGGAAAGTTTGTAATCAATGTAAATACCAAGTATTTTTGTAGAGGCTTGTGCTTGAAGATTATGATTAATAGATTTGAGTGCATAATCGGTCAATATTTTACTATGGCTACTCTTATCAAACAAAACGCATGCAGTTTTATCGTTGTTTACAATTAGCTTATTTTTTACCGACCAGAAAAGGACTCTTTCATATAAAGTTTGAAGCGTACTAATAACTGTGACGAAATCCGACCCGGTTATTAAGTAATTAGCATCATCCGCATAGTACACCTGCAGTGCTTTACAGCCTGTTTCTATATATAGTGCCAGATCATTCGTGAATAAAATAAAAAGAGTAGGTCCCAAAATGGACCCTTGCGGGACACCGATATTGACCGTTCTTGAGTCAGATACAGATGAATTATCTTATAATACCTTGTGTGTACTTTGAGAACGTGAACTAAAAATTTGGAAGTTTATTTTAGCGTGTTCAGTCATAGTTTATTATTTGTTAGTTTATGTCTAACGTTGTAACAACCTTAATTATAGGGCCTCAAATTTAAATGATTTTTGTCACTGATGCCAAATATTTTTAAATCTTGTACCGGGACCGTAAAAGTGCTGTTTTGAGAATCAGCACTACAAAATCTGCATCCCAGAATTTTTTGGAAATTTTTGGCAACTGTTTCGTAAAAACTATAACTATTTCAAAAATTTAATATTAAACCACATGTAAAACAAGCGAAAGTCTGTGTAAATTTTGACCAATTAACTAAACATTAAGGTTTTTCAAGCAGCAAAATTTTTTATTACACTATGAATTTCTCGTCCAGTTTTCCACAGTTTTTGAAATTTAACCAAAGACATTTTCTTATAGATTTCCAGCTCTAGTAGTTAGTTTCGGCCTCGTTTCATCGATAACTCCTTGGATTTATCCAGAATCGCCAACGAAATATTGCAATTCTTTAGATTAAAAAAAATATATTTTTGAACCAAATACTTTAAAATCATGCACCGGGAGTATAAAAGCGCTGTTTTTGAAATCAGAAGTACGAAATCTATTTCCCAGAAATTTTTGAGAATTTTTTGGAAATTCTTTCAAAAGCAAATTTTTCAATTTCGGTCCATTTTCGACAATTGTTGAAATTTAGTGAAAGACCTTTTCTTCGACATCTTGAAATTAGTTTCGCCTTCATTTCGTCGGCAGCTCCTATTATTTTTCCAGAATTCGCAGAATATTGCATATTTTTGGAAGAAAATTATTTTCAAACCGAATATGTTTAAATCTTGTACTGGGAGCATAAAAGCACTGTTTGCAGAATCAGCACGACGAAATCAATATCCTAGAATTTTTCCTAAATTTTTGGCAACTTTTTCATAACCAAAATTGTTCAATACTCCCTTAAGTTTATAGTTAAAATTCAGGTTAGAAAGACAATTTTGGCGATTCGCATTTTCGTATTCCGCGAGATGTAAAACGCCAAAAAAAACCAAAAACACGTCTCTCTTTGGAAGCCAAAATAGTGTTGCTATTATCGATGTTGTCATAATTTTGAAATTGATAGTCAAATATTTTACATCAATTTTTACTTCCCGAGCGTAAGCAAAGGAAGTATTGTAATCGAGTCCGTCGGCCGACTTTCTACTTTTACGTTTTCTCGATCGTTCATGACCCCTAGAAGACGAAGAAATAGGTCTCCCATTTCCGTCTGTCTGTCCGTCTGTCCGTCTGTCCGTCCGTCTGTCCGTCTGTTGTCCCGGATTTTTATTAGACAGATAATCTCCGAAAGTACTCGACCGATTGTTGTGAAATTTTGTGCTTATATTAAGAATATCATGTAGATGGTAAAACGCTAACCAAAATTTGTCTAATCATCCCCACCACTAATGCGATGACGTCACTTCAAAATTTTACATATAGTAAATGGGTTTTCAATTGTATAAAATAACATAGTCCTACACATGTAGTTTACAACTCTGAATCGACTTTTCACCCGAAACGTCCAGATTTTTGGAAAAAAAATCAAAATTATAAAACAACATTTTGAAATTTAATTTTTAATCTGCTAACCCGAATGCTTTGAAATGTTGCAGATGTTTTAAGGCTATAAAGAGCATCATAAATCTTTAGTCAAAAAATATTTGCTTATCCCCTCCAAAAACTTGATGACGTCAGCTCAAAAGTTTGTGGAATAAATCATATCTAAAATGTACAAAATATGATGAGTCTGTACTTGTGATCTATCACTCCATTCATATTTTTTGAATTTGCATATACAGGGTGACTCAAAAAAATTAATGAATGCGTAAATATATTTTATTGATTTAATCAGGAACTACAAAACGGAATGCTCTGACATCTTGCACATGTTTTAAGGTTATAAAGAGCATAATAAATGTTTAGTCAAAATATATTTGCTTATCCCCTCCAAAAACTTGATGACGTCAGCTCGAAAATTTGCCGAATAAATCATATCTAAAATGTACAAAATATGATCAGTCTGTACTTGTGATCTATCACTCCATTCATATTTTTTGGATTTGCATATACAGGGTGATTCAAGAAAATAAATGAAAGCGTAAATTTATTTTACTGATTTACTCAGGAACTACAAAACCGAATGCTTCGAAATCTTGAAGATATTTTAAAATTATAATAAGCATGGTAAATTTTTGATCAAAACGTATTTGGTCGTCCCCCCTAAAAAATTTATGACGTCACCACAAAATTTTGCTGAATAAATCCTATCTAACATGTATAAAATATGGTGAGTCTCTTCTTGTGATTTGTCATTCCATTCAAATTTTTTCGATTTGCATATACAGGGTGACTCAAAAAAATTAATGAATGCGTAATTTATTTTATTGATTTAATCAGGAACTACAAAACCGAATGCTTTGAAATCTTGCAGATGTTTTAAGGTTATAAAGAGCATAATAAATTTTTAGTCAAAATATATTTGGTTATCTTCTACAAAAAACTGATGACGTCAGCTCAAAAGTTTGCCGAATAAATCGTATCTAAAATGTACAAAATATGATGAGTCTGTACTTGTGATTTATCATTCCATTCATATTTTTGAATTTGCATATGCAGGGTGACTCAAAAAAATTAATGAAAGCGTGAATTTATTTTATCGATTTAATCGGGAATTACAAAACCGAATGCTTTGAAATCTTGGGAATATTTTAAAGTTATTATAAGCATGGTAAACTTTTGTTCAAAATGTATTTGTTCATCCCTCCTAAAAAAATTGATGACGTCACCCTTAAATTTTGCTGAATAAATCCTATCTAAAATGCAAAAAATATGATGAGTTTGTACTTGTGATTTATCATTCCATTCATATTTTTTAGATTTTCTTAAGAGGTGGTTCAAAAAAATTAATGAAGTCAATTTATTTTATTGATTAAATTAAAGGCAACACTTATTATTAGAATTACACCTCAACCAACCCAATTTGGTAGACACAAAATTTGTTAAAGGAAAAACTCGGTTGAAACATAAGGGTAGCACGCTTATTTACATCGACTTTAACATTACAGACCTGCATTTGTTTTATGCGCTCACTTGGTTCCGCGAATGTGAAATAGACATGTTTATAATCAACCAATTGTGAATTTCACCGTCAAGAATTAAAATAAAACCCAATGTTTTATATAATAAGCGGAAGTCGAAGCAATAAAACCGATGGTCGTTTTGTTTACAGTTTCTCTGTTTGACTCTCACGTATGCTGTTACGCTTGTCATCTTAAATTAAGAATGTTTATACATAAACGATTTTCAGTTGTCTTTCATATTACTAGACAGTGGATTTTTGTCGGGCTACGTCACGATTATAGGTGGGGACGCGCTGGATCGCCGGGACTCAGTAGCGGGTGATAGATAATCACTGAATTTAATCGGTACTAATTCCATAAATATAATTAACGATTTATTAATCAAACGGCTAAGTAAATGAGAACGGGAATTAACAGCAGAGTGCAACGAAACAGCGTTATTCTAATCTCAAATAAACGAAGTGCAGTCCGCAACCGCAATGAATTCGCATCCCGTACGAGCCGTACCGAGTTTGGCCTTGCCTAGCCCGACAGAAATCCGCTCTCTAGATATTACACACCGGCGCCGTATACGTGAGTAAATTGTTTCGTTATTTTATTGATTATAAGAAATCAATATTCAAAACGACCCGATTCATTTTCCCGAAAATTTGGGAATACAATAATTTTATTCTTAGTATTACACTACATCTATTCCAACTGATATACGTGTCCTTGCAAAAATGTTGATGACGTCATCACAATTTTTTTTTAAATTCCCACTACAAAAATGTAATGAGAAAGAAAAACACAATAGGCATGCAGTCGTCAAGTTTCCGACAGCGAGGGAAGTACTGTCTAAACTCTTTAGACCAATTTTTTAAATTAAAAACAAGCACCTAACCAATTATTTGTAACAACTTTTGTGATGACATGTTTAGTTATTTGCGGAATTACCAACTTTGTATCAATTGCGATAATCTCAGTATTAATCTGGCCACCATAAAGCTACAACGGAAATGAAGCAACATTGCCATAAAAATTCAAACTAATATTTTGACGAAATATTTAAAAGTAAATAAACTAAAGCTTAAAAGACATATTATAAATAAATTTCATCATCGATCGCATTGACGATAAAAGTAGTTGACAAATACTGTACATAGGGAATTTTGAAAACTTACTTTGTTTTAAATAATAAAAAAAAGATAACGCACTTACGAGTATGAATCATATATATAAACCTGAAAATTTTAGACAAAACATGGCCTTAATTTCAAGTTATTTTCCATTTTTTTATTTATCGACGTAGTTAATGAACTTGTATCACAGGCTTGTTGAAAGACCACTTCGTAATCATTGATTAGGTATATTGAAACAATTACTTTTGTACGATTACACAGATGTATATAAAATTATAATCTAAACTTCTGACCGGTAGCAGTTTTTGCAAACTTAGATAATGAAGACGACTATGTTTCTAATTTACGCCTTTTTGTTGGTGTGTGCGACATGTTTTGAATCGGCATCTTCAGACTCAGACACTCTTGTTTTCCTACATGTGGTAAATCAAAAACAATTGTATCTTGAATATAGAATATATTAGACTTTATAGCTCTTTAGACATGGCAACAGAACACCTGATAGAACATCACTTTTTCCAAATGATCCCAACATTAATGAAACGTACGAACCCTTTGGTTACAGCCAACTGACAACTGTAAGTAAAATTTTCCACAACTTAGACAATGTTACTAAGATAATAATCAACAGAAAGGGAAGAAAACACAATACGAAATAGGGCGTTATCTTCGTGAAACCTACGGCGACTTCATCCCAGCTCAGTACACCCCAGATGTAGTCTATGCCATATCCACAAATTTCAAACGAACAAAAATGTCTCTAGAGTTGGTCCTTGCTGGTCTTTTCCCACCCCTTGAATCCGATATTTTCACCGAAGGTCTGAACTGGCAACCCATCCCTTTCAACGTCGAACAACAAGAAGAACTAATAGGAATCCCCTTAATTTATTGCTCCAATTTTGTCCGACAATACTACAAATTTATGTTATCTCTAGAAGGAAAAGCAATTCTCGACAGCTACCAAAACCTTTATCAACAATTATCGAATTATAGCGGTCTGGCGGTGACATCACCTGACGAAGTACTCGATGTGTTCGAAACTCTTGAAAGCGAGGTAAGTGTCTGAGTCACTAAAATCGAGCGATAACATTTTGACGCAGCAAGATTACGGACTTGAACTACCGGAATGGACGTCTGAAATCTTTCCGGACGTTCCGGAAGAAGCTGCGTCTCGTTATTTTGAATTTGCCACTGTCACACCAGGGTTGAGAAGATTGGCTATCGGTTGGTAGGCGCTCAGGTCATGCAAAAAAAATAAAATTTCTTGTATCATCTAGGGAAATTTTTGAAGAAGATTCTAGACGATTCGGTGGCAAAAACAGAAGGACTTTTACCGGAAGAAAGAAAAATTTCTTTGTATTCAGCACACGACTTTCAAGTTGCTATATTGTTAAACAGTCTGGGTCTTTATGACAAACGTATGCCTCCATATGGTGCTACAGTTATATTTGAAATACATAACATAGACGGAGTTTATGGCTTGAAGGTTGTCAGTTATTCTAAATAACTACTGGGTGTTGATTTAGTTTTGTTTGATTTTAGTTGTTGTATCAGGATTATAGTGAAGCCGCTCCCAAACTATTGACGATACCTGGGTGCACAAGTTTTTGCGAGATTGATAAATTTGCTGAACTAATAGCTGACGATTTTCCTGGAATGGCCGATATTTGCACATTTACTGGAGAATTAATGTAAACAGCGATAAGATAGAAGTGCCAAAATATAAATCCTTATGAACATACTACGTGAATGAATCATGAAAATTTTATAGTTATCTGATTGATGTTTGTTTTTCATAACATGTAAATAAATTAATTAAAAATACGTACAACGGCTTTGCTTATATTTACAAAGATCGGAATGACAACTTATTCTAATTTCAACAATCATGTGATTAAATTGAGAAATTAGTGTATTTATTTTTACTTTATAAACGACGTATTAAACTTAAACCTGAAGTATTTATCTTAATCCAATTGTTCATTTTTAAAAATCATATAAAAATATAAAAATTTAACAAATATTGATAAAATACGTAATACACAATTTCTCCATCGAGTTAACTCGTGAGAACTTATTTATCTATTTGTACACAACAAAGTCTTATTTACATACTTCTTGCCGAAGACTAAAAATTTAGGTACGCTTATTGTATTTTTTTTTTTTATATATTTTATTAGTCTTGAAAAATGGAGCTCTTGGAAAAGTTGCCTAAAAATCCACACAAAATGGTAATTCTAGTGTGTTTATGGTTCCAGGGCAAGATTTTTGAAAATTCCGTTTGATAATAATGACTTTTTTGTTAATTATAAAAATTGTTACATTTCATGTAAGAGATTCTGGAAAGACAGATTTTCGAAAAAAAACAGCGGAAAATGAATTCTGGAATCTTTTTTTGTGTTTTTCAAATTTAGTTGAAAAAAGACCAAACATTTCATGAGTATTGAAAAAATTCCAAAAATTCATTACAAAAATCTGATAGCCCGAGAGCATGATTTTTCAAATATTCAGTTATATGCGATATACTTACCATGAATTTCGACAATTTAAAATAGAAAAATACACTGTAATGATAATCCCAAACGATTTTCTACATATTCAGTATGAAAATATTTTTTTTTTTAATTCTAAAAATTGTTATATTCAAAAATAGTAAGAAGTTTTGAGCAAATAAAGCCAAATATAGTTTCCAGATATAGGAGTCTACCAAAAGCGCCCTTCATATAATTTTCGAAGGTGGTCGAAAAATGGGAAAAAATTCGTAAGTGGGAATATTGATAAATAGAGCTTCTGGAAAAGTTGCGTAAAAATCCGCAAAAATGTCTAAGATATAGATAGACTTTTTCTATCCTAAAATATGGCCATACTTCACACAGGAGAATCTAGAAAAATGGTAGGAATTTTCGGAGAAAAGAAGTCGAAAATAAGTCTGGAATTCGGATTCTAAAGAAAATTTCATATTTTCGAAGGTAGTCGAAAAGATGCCAGAAATTTGATAAGGTGGAAGTCCTGAAAAATTAAACTTTTTGGAAAGGTTGCCTAAAAATTTATAAACACTCCTACAATATTTGATCACGACGAACTGCATCGAAAAATACAACGAAATGATGATCCCGCGCCAAAATTTTCCAAATATTCAGCGTGAAAGTCATTTTTTTTTTATAATCAAAAACCGTAATAATTTTCGAAGAAATGAAGCTGAAAATAACTTCTGGAAATCGGTTTCTACAGAAAAAAATCTTTAAAAGTAAGTTTCAAATGTAGTCGAAAAAAATGTAAAAAATTTCATACGTAGGCAGCAGTCCGAAAAAGAGACTTCTTGGAAAAATGGCTTAAAAATTCTCAAAAAATTTTGCGAAATAGATAGAAAGCTTTTCCGATTTGCCTGAATTTGAATTTCTGAAATAATTTTTCACTGTACGAGGCATCTCTGCCATCAACGCAGAAGTAATTTATACAATCGATTCTTGAATATTAATACCCGAAAAGATTTTTTTTTGAGACACAGAATGAAGCACGTTTTTGTTTGAAACGTAATGAATATTCAACAGCTGAGATTTTTACATTATTTCATATCGTAAAAATTTTAAGATTTCGTCCATCTCAAATTATTTCACTATTTAATTAACTTTTAAAGTAAATGTTCACAATCCTGAGAATTATTCACTTCAATTTAAAATATCTGGGTTTCGTTCACTTGATGGCATCATCACAAATTTTATTTAGGTCAATCTCGCTTGAAATCTATAGAATTGTTACGTTGATCGGGTGATTAAAATCGGCAATTTATTTCTTAATACCTCGAATTTACACGACTGATTACACAGCGGTTATGTACACAATAATTCCGGCGCAACTTGACTGTACTCTCGTGGAATGAATTGACGGTGGCCTTTATTTAAACCTACACGCCCCTCTCGATGGATCGAGAACGCCGCTTCGAGGGTTTTCTGGGCCCGCAATCGAGACTTCCGTCACCGATGATGACTTGTTGGCTATTCACCGGATTACTGACAGTCCTCATCGACTTAGACATTTTCTGGAGCAAAATCTACCAAAGAAAAATTTTCAAACTATTCAAGTATTTCTATCAGCTGAATGAAGATTTCCAAAGAGCGTCGTTCGATCTGCACTATGGTACGGTGAAAACAGTGGACGGTATATTTGTTTGACAAAGACACCATGAAAATATCTCTAGACACTCAAGCCGTTCTTATTTTTCTATTTACGTTTATTTTATGGTCTCAAGCAAATTTTACTGTCAGTACGTTCTGTTTACAAACACTGCAAGATTAATGTTTCTTGAGATCGACCACGAGCTAAATTCGAAGACCATTTCTGTGAAAAAATATCGCCTTTGTTGCGATCTTCACACAAAACGTTATTAGACTTATGAACAAGCTCTATCCGATTCAGATTATTTTGTTATTTACTTAGAGCTTTGTGTTGATGACGTTGGGGGTTTATGGTGCTATAGTGCATGAGTATGAAATGGCCTTAACTACGTTGATTTCGTCATTTTATGGAAGCGCACTGATGATATGCAAAATGTGGGGGTTGATTTTTAATGCAGAGAATTTAACAACTTCTGTATAAGTAAATTCGACGGAAGTTGTAATGATAACTGATCGGTAGGCAAATAAAGTAAGGCACTCCCTGCTATTGAAAATCAACAAATACATAAGAAAGAGATAAACATGCAAAGTAAATATTTATTGAATGGTAGATTGAATACGGACTTTCTAGATTCAGGCTTTCCTGCTTTATATTTTGCACGACCAAGTTAAGATATCTCTGGGAGGATTTTCCATTTAAACTATAGTTTGGGTGTAAATGTAAGACTATCGCAAATAAGTTAAAACAGAATTATAACACTAAAAACTGGGTTTCAGATTTTTACATCTATCATTATATTTAGTAATGTTGATTCAGACCGACCCGAAAGCTTCGCAAATTATAGCAGGTATTAGTTTTTTATTAATCAATGAATCGTCGGTTTAAATGTATTAAAGACTTTATTTTATGTGAAAAGTAAAATCCCCATTTTCGCTAGTCTGTCGACTGGTGCTAATTTTATAAGCCATATCTCCGAAACTGCATTGTTTATTGTGAAATTTTAAGAATTTTAAGCATAGGTAGGTACTCGTAATTACTAGCCAAATAAAATTTTCATGAAGTAAAGTAAAGGCAATAATTGAAAGAAAAGTTTACCGTAGTTGCAAAGAGCCAATTTTAGATATACGTTAACTCTAGTAATAACAGCTTTACCAACTAATGCGACAAAATCGATTATGTAATTTGTCTAATCTTTTGATCAAATTGTATTAGAATTTGTAATACACAGTCACAAATAATAATAATTAACGCCGTTGCTATTGTTTAACATTGATGAAATAATATTATCATTACAAATTATAAAACCGGATTTAAAGTTATAACTAACCGTGACCAAACTTTAAAATGTAAAATATGAAATATAACGGTTGTACAATAAAAAATATATTTGGAGCAGACTGTGAAAATTTAATTGTCTACAGCTTTTTTACAGTGTAGAAAGTGTCACGTCACAAACTAAGGGTTACTGAAAATAACAACAAAATAAGATTGGGTTGGAAAACGTTTTGTCATATTCTCGCACCAAAATTGTGCAACAATTCCATTTTAAGATATATATTTTTTCAGTATCGGATTGTACCGAAAGGACAGTGGGAAATTTCCCAGTCTACTTCTTTTTTTTTAATACAGGTATTTACATTTTTGAGAATGCAGCATGTTACAATTACAAATGCAATAAATATTTCTAAAAATATAACAGATACATGAAAACTATATATGTAAACATTAAATAAGAGCATTTTTTACTTTCAGGGCGTAAACTCGAAACAATGGATCACCCGTTTTCGGCTGTCTGTCTGTCTGTCTGTCTGTCTACTGTCTGTCCGGATTTTTAAATAGATAATCTCCGAAACTGCTGAACCAGTTGTTAAATTTTATATGTGTATTACGAAAATTTGGCTAATCGTCCCTACCAACAATTTGTTGGCGTCATCTTCAAAATTTACAGTCGTACATATTACTCCTATTTAAATTTTATAAAATAAGATATTCCTGCACATGTGGTTCATGAACTCGTGTTGAATTTTTATCCTAGACATCCATATTTTTGAAAAAAAAAAAATCAAAATTACAACATCTTGCAATTTAACTTTGAAACTGCTCTGAAATTTTGGAAATGATTTAGGTTATCGTAAGCATGGTAAATCATGTCAAAATTTTTTTCTAGATTTCGACTTCCAGAAGATATTTTCGAGTTTATTTCTTCAAAAATTGCTACCATTTTCCCACAGTCCTCAGATTGTGGTACGACACATTTCGACATATTTTGAAAATTTGACATTGAACCCGGAAAACTATGTTAAATATTTAGAAATATTTAGTCCTCGTATCGACTTGAGATTATTTTCCTTCATAGACGTACCAGTCCTGCGCAAGCACGATCGTTTTTGACAACCCAGTTTTTCGGGAGTTGCCCAAAAGAAAAATGTTTTGTGAATTTTTATACATCTTTTCAAAAATCTGATTTTTTTCATTTCCCTCTTTCGAAATTTTGACATTTTTCGCTTGCTTTTGAAAATTACCTAAAGAGATTTTTTTGTAGACTTCGACCTCCAGAAGTTAATTTCACCTTCAGTTCTTCGGAAATTCGTATTTTTTTCCCAGAATCGTCAAAATGTATTAGGCAAATTTTGAGATATTTTAAAAATCTAAATTTCAATTCGGATATTTCGAAAACTAAGGTATTCCAAATTAGGAAAAATAATCTCAGGTTGATAGACGATTTTCGTGGTTTTTCCCAGATTTTTCGTGAACACTAAAACACAATGTGTTAATAATCCTCTCCCCCCATTTTGAAGAACATAACGTAGAACATAGTGGTTTATTTCATATTGCTGTCTTATCTATGGATATCACTGATAAATAATAATCTATTGCATATAGAAGAAAAGAGAAAAGATAAAACTTCTGATTAGATAAGTAAATTTTTACTTCCATAACTCGTAAGTAGGTTACGAAAAAACATGGCACCCTTTCCTCACCTGTCGCCTATCTGGTCATTTAGATCTTCGAAACTACTGGACATATTACAATATATTTTAAGCGTACATTAGTATTACCTATCTATGGTATATCGCTATTCAGAACTTGTCAGTTCATCCCCTACAAAAATTGAATGACGTCATATCAAAATTTTGCTTAGTAAATTTACTGAAATTTTGCAATTTACATTGTGATGTGCACTCGACTCATATTACAGAAAGATGAAAAAAATGGTCTAAGATTATTTACACAGAACTTCCCTCGTACCTGACGTACAGTTTAATAAAATTGGATTTTCGGAAATTTTATTTTTTATGATAATCCGTATAAGTTAAAAATTTACAGATTATACCAATCGAACCCATGATCTTAGCGTTGTTAACAGGACACCCTAACCCCTAACCCATACGCATCGCTTATATTATTCTCATAAAACTTTAGTATTCAATTTGGATTTTTTTGCGAAAATTTAGAGGTGGATTCATGAGACACAAGTACAGGAGTATATTATTTTATAAAATCTAAACGGATTTTTTTATAAAACATTTTTGGTTAGCGTTTTACCATTTCCACGATATTCCTAAAATATATATACAAGTTGATAACAATCGGTCCAGTAGTTTCGGAGATTAACATTTTTGGTTAGCGTTTTACCATTTCCACGATATTCCTAAAATATATATACAAGTTGATAACAATCGGTCCAGTAGTTTCGGAGATTATTTGTATAATAAAAATCAACACAGGCAAAATAGCCATTTAAATTTTATAAAATAACACACTCTTCTAATTGTGTTTTATGAATCCGATTTGATGTTTTAGTCTAGATCCCTAGATTTTTGTAAAAAATTAAACATTTTGTACCAAAATGTCACTACAGTATGTTCGGGGAGCTTGAAGATTGTGAAAGAATCTTCGGGAAGTCGTTTTTATTATGTGAAAAAAATTGTTTGGACTCTTATGTTTTTTTAATATGAAAAAAAATTTCGGGCTCCTGACGCGTTGTTTTTGAAAGAATTTGAAAGAATCTCCGAGCATATCTTTTTTAAAAGAATGTGAAAACATTTTCGGGGTTCCTTGTGTCTTTTACTTTAAAGTGTGAAATAATCTTCTGGATTTTTTTTTTTTTTTGTGAAATAATCTTTGGGCACCATTGTATGTTTGAAAGGATGTGAAAAGGTTTTCAAAGTCCCTTTGTGACTTTTTTACAGAATGTGAACGAATCTTGGGAATGCATTTTTTTTTTCTTAAAAATGTGGATGAATCTGTAGGGTACATTGTGTTTTTTTTTTTTTAATGTGAGTGGTAAAATAATCGTCTGGATTTCTTGGGTCTTTTTTTATAACTAGAGTTATTAATCCACCTTATTTTTAACTTTACGGATAGTGGTTTTTGAAAAAAAAAAAATTGGTCTAAAGAGTTTAGACAGTACTTCCCTCGCTGTCGGAAACTTGACGACTGCATGCCTATTGTGTTTTTTCTCATTACATTTTTGTAGTGGGAATTTAAAAAAAAATTGCGATGACGTCATCAACATTTTTGCAAGGACACGTATATCAGTTTGGGATAGATGTAGTGTAATACTAAGAATAAAATTATTATATTCTCAAATTTTCGGGAAAATGAATTGGGTCGTTTTGAATATTGATTTGTAATAATCAATAAAATAACGAAACAATTTACTCACGTATACGTATCCCAGGCAGCTGAAAATCGTGTATGTATAAACATTCTTAATTTAAGATGACAGGCGTAACAGCACACTTGAGAGTCAAACAGAGAAACTGTAAACAAAACGACCATCGGTTTTATTGCTTCGACTTCCGCTTATTATATAAAACATTGGGTTTTATTTTAATTCTTGACGGTGAAATTCACAATTGGTTGATTATAAACATGTCTATTTCACATTCGCGGAACCAAGTTAACGCATAAAACAAATGCAGGTCTGTAATGTTAAAGTCAATGTAAATAAGCATGCTACCCTTATGTTTCAACCGAGTTTTTCCTTTAACAAATTTTTTGTCTACCAAATTGGGTTGGTTGGGGTGTAATACTAATAATAAGTGTTGCCTTTAATTTAATCAATAAAATAAATTGACTTCATTAATTTTTTTGAACCACCTCTTAAGAAAATCTAAAAAATATGAATGGAATGATAAATCACAAGTACAAACTCATCATATTTTTTGCATTTTAGATAGGATTTATTCAGCAAAATTTAAGGGTGACGTCATCAATTTTTTTAGGAGGGATGAACAAATACATTTTGAACAAAAGTTTACCATGCTTATAATAACTTTAGAATATTCCCAAGATTTCAAAGCATTCGGTTTTGTAATTCCTGATTAAATCGATAAAATAAATTCACGCCTTCATTAATTTTTTTGAGTCACCCTGCATATGCAAATCCAAAAATATGAATGAAATGATAAATCACAAGTACAGACTCATCATATTTTGTACATTTTAGATACGATTTATTCGGCAAACTTTTGAGCTGACGTCATCAGTTTTTTGTAGAAGATAACCAAATATATTTTGACTAAAAATTTATTATGTTCTTTATAACCTTAAAACATCTGCAAGATTTCAAAGCATTCGGTTTTGTAGTTCCTGATTAAATCAATAAAATAAATTTACGCTTTCATTAATTTTTTTGAGTCACCCTGTTTATGCAAATCGAAAAAATTTGAATGGAATGACAAATTACAAGAAGAGACTCACCATATTTTGTACATTTTAGATAGGATTTATTCAGCAAAATTTTGTGGTGACGTCATAAATTTTTTAGGGGGGACGACCAAATACGTTTTGATCAAAAATTTACCATGCTTATGGTAATTTTAAAATATCTTCAAGATTTCGAAGCATTCGGTTTTGTAGTTCCTGAGTAAATCAGTAAAATAAATTTACGCTTTCATTTATTTTCTTGAATCACCCCGTATATGCAAATCCAAAATATCTGCACTTACCAGGCAACAATTATTGTAACTTGGTCCAATTTTTAAAATTTGGAGATATATATCCTCAATGACATTCACTCTTCAACAGTTTTTTTCGAATTGGCTTCGCATTTCGCAATCGCAACTGTTTCGTCTCGCCACCCAAACCCCGCGCCGCTCGTCGTTTCCAACTTCCGCTTTTTGCTATGGCTGGGAGTTTGTTTATATAAACTATGTCTCAACGTGCGATAAAGAAATGACACGGTCAGTGGCGTAACTGAAGCAAATGCGTATGTACTTTTTCTCTGCTTCTCTCGATGTATAAACATTAACAGTCGAAGTTAATCATGTATTGACAATATATAAAATGATTAAGAGATATTCTTCCGATCACAAAAAAAAATTTCAACATTTGCTATTTATGGTGCTTATTCACGAACACACAATAACAAATAAATAAATATTATAACATTATTGTTGCGAAAATCGGAAGTGCTGTTCTTGATTTGATGGGCGAAAAAAGTTGGAAGTGCCGGGATCTGTTACCGGAACTTCTAATTGCACTGCAAACTCCACCTCCACTAAACCACAGGCCACAGTTGCTTATGTTAAAACTCATCATATTTTGCACATTTTGAGTTAAACTTTTTTGGCAAAAATTGTAGATGACGTCATGAATTTTTTCGGGGGAATAAACAGATATATTTTCATTAACAATTTACCATGCTCACAATCAATTTTAACCATCTGCAAGACTTCAAAATATTCAGTTTAGCAATTCTTGATTTATTCACTAAAATAAAGTGACTGATTCATTTCTTTTTTTGAGTCACCCTGTATAAGCAAGTTAAAAAATTTGAATGCAATGATTAGTTACAAGTGTAGTCAGATCATATACTTTATTCAGTAAAATTGTGAGAAGACGTAATGAATTTTTTTTGGGGTTGATAAAGAGATACATTTTGATTAAACAGTTACCATGCTTACAATAACTTCAAAACGTCAAGATTTCTAAGTATTCAGTTTTGCAAAATCAATTCACTCCGTCATTAATTTTTTTCAGACACCCTGTATAAGCAAATATCAAAAATTTTACAAGTATAGTCAAATCATATACTTTATTCAGCAAAATTCTGAGAGGACGTAATGAATTTTTTTTGGGGTTGATGAAGAGATACATTTTGATTAAACAGTTACCATGCTTACAATAACTTCAAAACGTCAAGATTTCTAAGTATTCAGTTTTGCAAAATCAATTCACTCCGTCATTAATTTTTTTCAGACACCCTGTATAACCAAATATTAAAAATTTTAATGCAGTGATAAATCACAAGTATGGACTCATCATACTTTACACATTGAAGATGGCATTTTTTCAGCAAAATTTTGGGGTGACGTCATAAATTTTTTAGGGGGGACGACCAAATACATTTTGATCAAAAATTTACCATGCTTATGATAATTTTAAAATATCTTCAAGATTTCGAAGCATTCGGTTTTGTAGTTCCAGAGTAAATCAGTAAAATAAATTTACGCTTTCATTTATTTTCTTGAATCACCCTGTATATGCAAATCCAAAAAATATGAATGGAGTGATAGATCACAAGTACAGACTGATCATATTTTGTGCATTTTAGATATGATTTATTCGGCAAATTTTCGAGCTGACGTCATCAAGTTTTTGGAGGGGATAAGCAAATATATTTTGACTAAACATTTATTATGCTCTTTATAACCTTAAAACATCTGCAAGATGTCAGAGCATTCCGTTTTGTAGTTCCTGATTAAATCAATAAAATATATTTACGCATTCATTAATTTTTTTGAGTCACTCTGTATATGCAAATCCAAAAAATATGAATGGAGTGATAAATGACAGGTACAGGCTCATCATATTTTGTACATTTTAGATATGATTTATTCGGCAAATTTTCGAGCTGACGTCATCAAGTTTTTGGAGGGGATAAGCAAATATATTTTGACTAAACATTTATTATGCTCTTTATGACCTTAAAACATCTGCAAGATTTCAGAGCATTCGGTTTTGTAGTTCCTGATTAAATCAATAAAATATATTTACGCATTCATTAATTTTTTTGAGTCACCCTGTATATGCAAATCCAAAAAATATGAATGGAGTGATAGATCACAAGCACAGACTCATCATATTTTGTACATTTTAGAAATGATTTATTCCACAAACTTTTGAGCTGACGTCATCAAGTTTTTGGAGGGGATAAGCAAATATTTTTTGACTAAAGATTTATGATGCTCTTTATAGCCTTAAAACATCTGCAACATTTCAAAGCATTCTGGTTAGCAGATTAAAAATTAAATTTCAAAATGTTGTTTTATAATTTTGATTTTTTTTCCAAAAATCTGGACGTTTCGGGTGAAAAGTCGATTCAGAGTTGTAAACTACATGTGTAGGACTATGTTATTTTATACAATTGAAAACCCATTTACTATGTACAATTTTGAAGTGACGTCATCGCATTAGTGGTGGGGATGATTAGACAAATTTTGGTTAGCGTTTTACCATCTACATGATATTCTTAATATAAGTACAAAATTTCACAACAATCGGTCGAGTACTTTCGGAGATTATCTGTCTAATAAAAATCCGGGACAACAGACGGACAGACGGACGGACAGACGGACAGACGGACAGACGGACGGACAGACGGACAGACGGACAGACGGACGGACAGACGGACAGACGGACAGACAGACGGAAATGGGAGACCTATTTCTTCGTCTTCTAGGGGTCATGAAAGATCGAGAAAACATAAAAGTAGAGAGTCGGCCGACGGACTCGATTACAATACTTCCTTTGCTTACGCTCGGGAAGTAAAAAGGATAAAACTGTTATAAGAAAATTTTACAGTTTTTCTTTGAAATTAAAAACACAATTACTTTGAATTCTTCTACATACTGTAGGTTATCGTAATCACGGTAAACCAATAATTAGAATGACTGTATATAAAAATTTTGTAAACCTCTTGCCTCTTCAAATTGTGCAATTTATATTGCGAATATTAAAGAACTTAAAAAATAAACACCAATGAAAACATAAAGAGAAGAGAAAGTTCTTCACAAAATAAAAACATAAAAAGTTTAATAAATTAAATGATACCGAAACAATTACCACGATGATCGATGAAACTAAAAAAGCTTTAATAAATAATAATTAACTGTCTAGTTGCAACACAACACTGAAATATTTACAGTACAGTCCACAACACCTGTATTGATCTTTAAAAGAACTCAAATACATCATGACCGACTTCTCAAGCATTTCTCCGCTCCTAAAACTCAACTATCGTGTTCTACGTTGTTTTGGCTTCCTCCACTTTCATCTAGAAGACATTGTCGAACCTCGTTCTTAGTTTCGTCTCAACCTAGCAATAGAAATACTTCACGTTTTACTCATAATTTTGCCATCGATTTACTTGTTTAAATATTATCCACAATTTTTTGCAGCTTCTTTGATCACAAAATTACTTAGCTTCTTCAGAGGATTGTTTCTAATTTTAACAGGATGTAGCAACATCATTTGGAGCAAAGTGTATCGCAAAAAAATCTACAACGTGTTTAAAACTGTAGCAGCTTTAGAAAAACATATCCAGGATTTGCAAATAACTTTAGATTATGGAAATTCAGTGTGGTTGGCATGTGCACTTATGGCAGGTGAAATTCTATTGTTATTGTTTTGTGGTATACTGCATCTGATTTATACTACCTCAACAAAATTTACGCTTTTCCAAGGGTCAGTAACTTTCACAATGTATTTCGTTATGATGACCATTGAGCTAATATTGCCATGCCAATTTCTAACTGTCTACAATAGCGCTGCTTTAATGTTTTCGGCTATTAATTCAAAACTGAAAGAAAAGTACTTATCACCTGAAGATTTTCGGAAATGTATGGTTGTTTATTCGAAAATTTGCAACCTTTTAGAACAATGTAACCACTTAAACACAATTTTAATTCTAATAGCGATTTCTACGCGATTCGTGACCACGACTCTAAACTTATATGGACTCATTATTAATGCTTTTATGAATGGAAAACAGACAAATTTTCCTGTATTTGCTGGCATAGCTTTGTTTTGCTATAAATTAGGAATTCTGATTTTCATAGCGGAGAAAATAAAGTCTTCGGTAGATTTGTTTTACTGAATTTAACGTCAAGGATAATTTTTCTTTTTTCAGGTTATTAAAACGCGAAACACATTGAATAGACTAACAATTGAGAAGAAAGAACAAATATTTCGGAACGAGGTAACTTCCAGAGTTTTTTGTTTTTTCACACAGAGTAACACATTTTAGATTAGTATTTTTCTGGTAAAGTCGCTACATTATGAAGTTAGAATTTCCGCAGGTGGAATTTTCGACTTGAACTATAATTTGGCACTAAGGGTACACGAACCTTTCTAGAAATTTAAATTTAATTAAGTACTTGATCACTATTTTTATTTTCAGATTTTTCTTTCTGTGACAACATATTTAGTCATCTTAATTCAAACCGATCCTAACGCTTCAAGAATAGTGTCTGAGAAGCTCTTTTGGATCTAAGTGATTTCAAACTCAGTCGACTAATTTTTATTAACATATTGAAAGAACACAAACAAGTTCAAAAATTTTCTGTTTTAATTCGAGAGAATTTTCAACTTTTGAACTACCAAGAAAGAAAAATTTAACTTGAGTACTATTTTCACAATAGTTCCAAAGCTTGCATTTCAAAAGTTGGAAATTTGTTAAAATTCTTGAGATACTCATACACAAAAATATATTCTGTACACATTAAATATTATTAAAGTAACATTTCTGTGTTTTCTCATCACTCTTCCCAAAAGGATTACATTTATTTTTAGTTTCCGAAGATCTGTGACTCAAGTTTCATTCTTTTTTTAAATAATTCCCGGAGTGTAACAGCTGAATTTTTGTTATTTTGGTAGTGCTATTCATTATTAATAGTTACTTTAAGTACTTTTAAAAGCTTTAAAATAATGTATATACACTTAGTTTAAATTACAAAAAATTTACGAAAACTGTGTGTAATACTATAATAATTTACTAAAATATACTGAAAACTAAAACAAAAAATTTCATCAAATGTGAAGAGAATGTCTTGAGAAATTTAAGAAGTGCTATTACAAAATTCAAAAGTGCTTTGTACTGTTGTTTAGAATGAATATTCATGAATATTGTTCAAATTGAAAGAAAAATGAGTTCCACAAGTACTCACTTTTGGAGCCTAAAAAACACTACCATCAGTAGAAAATTGTCGATTTAAAAATAATTTAAAATAAAAAATCAATGAGATCTTCACGATATGACTTTCCATGTTCACACCTCGCACGTTCTTGTAGTTCTAATTCTTGACAACAGATTTGTTGCATGGACCCCACTCTTCTTGTTTCATACAGAGAACTCTTTCAGGGAATAATCATTTTACAACCAATCACAGCTTTTCGTTCGTGTTCATATTTAAAGCTGTCTGGGAGACATAAAAGGTACTTAGAAAATTTCACTTCTTTTTTTTTAAGTAAATGTTTATTGTCACATCAACCACGAAGTGTTATTAGTGACAGGGCGGTACAATACAAGATAAGTATAATACAATGATCAATCCTTAGATTAACTGCAGAAGGCCCGCTGTTGAGAGGAACTGCAAAAGATTTTCTACAGATGGGAGATCACCCAGAACTTCGGTAAGTGATGGTGGCAGTGACTACCGGATGCGGGTCTGTTTAAATGTTGTACAGTGGAGTAGAATATGTTGCACTTCGTACACTGAGGTGGGACCTTATCGAGTGAGAACAGATAAGCATGAGTCAATCTGGAATGCCCAAGCCGGAGTCGGGAGATTAAGACTTGGCCCTGGCGAGTACTAGGTAGAGGCAACAGTGTTGTGACGTTGGGCTGGATTTTGCGTGGAGGGAGGGATGCGCGTCGCATTTGCGTTGCCAGGATGCTACAATGCGAGTTCGAAAGAGACTCTTAATATCCGTAGATGGGACAGCTAGAAGAGGTTTCAAATTGACTGAAAGTATCGCTTCCTTACCTAGGGTGTCTGCTGTTTCATTGCCTGTTATCCCCGTATGAGAGGGTATATAGCAGAAGAGAATTTCTTTGCCCTGAAGTTGAAGTTGTTGAAACTGTTCTTGGATGCGAACTACGAGTGGATTGACTGGAAACAACGCCTTGAAGCCTTGCAATGCGCTCATGGAGTCCGTGAAGAGCACGAAGTGGAATCATTGGAGGTTGACGATGTGGTTAAGGGCTTCCAGGATAGCGTATAATTCCCCAGTCAACACGCTGCTGTAAGTTGGAAGTGAAAATTGGAGGACGTCGGTTGGGGTCTTCACTGCATGACGGAAGGTGGTGTGGTGTCTGTTTTATAGATAGACATAGAGGTATTGACTGGCAGTGGAGAATTGACCCATGGAGGATTCGAAGTAAAGGTGTGAGAAAGTGTCTGAGGAAGGCTGGGTAGGTCGAGCTGTTGAAGATCACTACGTAGTCTTTTGCTGAAAGGATTTTGAAGGGCTGATTCCAAGATTGGTCGTCTAAGAGGATTGTTCGAGTTTCTAGCGATGTGGACCACATAACTGAGGCGAAGATAGTGGAAACGATTAATGAGAGGGAGTTCATTTGCTAAACAATGTAAGCCAGAAACCGGTGACGTTCGAAATGCGCCGAACGCAAATCTAAGAGCAGTGTTCTGAATCGTACAAATAGGGCCAAGGTACGATTTTTTGCAGGTGGAGTACACAACTGCACCATAGTCGATCCTTGATCTTATTATCATTTTGTAAACTTGGAGAAGTGTCACGGTATCAGCTCCCCAGCTGTGATGGACTAAGACCTTTAAGAGGTCAAGCAGTTTGGAACAGGTTGGTTTGAGAAAATTAAGGTGTGGCTTCCAAGTCAAATGTTGGTCAAAAATTAAGCCTAAGAATTAATTTTCTTCTAGAAACTCTAAGTTGACATTTCCCAGTTTTAGAGTCGGTTTTTCTTGAAGTTGTCGTTTAGTGAACAACATACACTTGGATTTAGTAGTCGAAAATCTGAGGCCCGTCGTTGCTGACCAGTCTTCTAGATCTTGTAGGGAAGGTTACGCATCGACGCTAGGTCTTTCCCCTTAGTGAATATCACCAGATCATCGGCGAAGAGGTGGGCTTTAATTGGTGGAGAAATTTTTTGAAAGATACTATTGATGGTTAACAGGAAAAACGTGACACTGATAACAGAGCCTTGTGGTATTCCATTTTGAAGCATCTTGACAGAAGAGACGGTGTTGTTAATGCAGTCTTGAAGGAAGTTATTGACATAGTGAGCAATAAAATTGCCAACACTTTCTGCTTGTTTGTGAATGCTGTGGATATTTCGGACTCTAGATGAGCGATGCTGTCCATTGTGGATCGGTATTGTCGAAAACCGCTCTGACATGTTTTAAGTATTGTGTGGTAGAAAGAAAACTACACATATTAAAAAAACAAAGCCAAAGTTTAAGCCCCACCCACCCGCCCGATTTCAATTGTGATGAATTTTTTATTGGTTGTGAGATCATGGGGCGGAGCTTAACTGCAAAATCCATATGTTTGAGACACGATCGTATTGTAGGAAATCGACCATTTTGAGAAAAAATAGGGAATTAATATTTTTATTCTATCAAAAGCAAAAGAAGATCGAAAGAGGAAGCAGAACAAAAAACCTAAAACATGTTTAAAATGGTATTTTTTTTAGAAAAATATGGATTTTGCAATTAAACTCCGCCCTTCTGTTTGACAACGAATAAAAAATTCATCACAACTGAAGTAGGGGTGGGTGGGTGGGGTTTAATTATTAATTTCTCTTCAACAACCCGGCATTTAAAACATTAATCTAACCTCAAATTTACCATTTCATATTTTAATTATTTTATGGTTGGAAGAAGATTATGTGTATATACTAAGAAAATCGAAAGATAAGCCCCACCCACCCGCCCCATCTCAATTGTAATGAATTTTTTATTCGTTGTGAGATCGGGGGGCGGAGCTTAACTGCAAAGTTCATATTTCTCTACAAGAAAATACCATGTTTTAAGTATCGTGTGGTTGAAAGAAAACTACACATATTAAGAAAAACAAAGCCAAAGTTTAAGTTACACCCACCCACCCGATTTCAATTGTGATGAATTTTTTATTCGTTGTGAGATAGGGGGGCGGAGCTTAACTGCAAAATCCATATGTTTGAGACACGATCGTATTGTAGAAAATAGACTATTTTAAGAAAAAAATAGCGAATGAATATTTTTATTGTCTCAAAAGCAAAAGAAAATCGAAAGAAGAAGAAGAAACCTTAAACATGTTTAAAATGGTAAATTTTTGTACAAAGATATGGATTTTGCATTTAAACTCCGCCCTTCTGTCTGACAACGAATAAAAAATTCATCACAAATAAGGTAGGGGTGGGTGGGTGGGGCTTAATTTTTGGCATCTCTTCAACAACCCGGTATTTAAAACATAAATCTAACTTCAACTCCACGCAGATGTAATTTAGGATCCGTGTTGCGTTTTTACACTAAGTAGATTTTATTAAGCTTGATTGGGGGACATGAGGTGCGTCAAAAAGTACATACAGTCATGGCCAGAAAATCTTGGACGTCAGTCAGTGTCGTTTCACCGTCACAAAACATCTTTAAATATTTTAACCTTATTTTTTTAGTTTTGACATTTTTGACAATGCGACGTGACACATCTTTTAAACTTTAAAAGTGATACTACATCAAAATTTTCAAAATAACAGAAAAATGACGTCCAAAATTTTCTAGCCCCGACTGTGGACCAAAATTTTCTTCTTGGGAGCAAAAAATTGTCAATTTTGTATTTAATTAAAGAAAAACAAAAAAAAGGAAAAAAAAATGAGAAAAAATCTGCTAGATGGTCATCGAAAAAAAAAACGTGACATAAAAAGGCTACAAAAGTAATCGATAAAAAGCGGAAAAAGAGTGCAAAAATAGGCAAAAAAGCGGCAAAGGAGAGAGAAAAAGACTATGAAAAAAAGCGACCAAAGAAAGAGGGGAAAGACAAAAAATGGAGACAAAAAAAGAACAAAAGAAGTGACAAAAAAGCGATATAAAAAACGACACAGAAAAAGTAGAAATAAGTAATAATAATAATAATAAGAAGAAGAAGAAGAAGATGATAAAAAATGCGACAAAAAAAAGTGGGGGAGGGGAACGCACAAGAACGACAAGAAAAGGCGACCAAAAAAAAGCGGAAAACTGCCACAAAAAAAGTTTACTAACAAATTGGTCTAAAAAGTTTAGACAGTACTTCCCTCGCTTTCAGAACCGTGTCTTTATGTCTATCATAGATTCTTCTCATTAGAGTTCTGTGACGGAATATTTCAATAAATTCGCTTTCACTCTGGAAATCACGGCTCGTTCGTAATTTGATCAATACTAACTTGACTGATTCATTAATTTTTTTTAGTCACCCTGTATATGCAGATCTAAAAAATATGAATGCGATGACAAGTTTAGTTTGATCATATTTTGCACATTTTCGAAAGGATTTATTCGGCAAATTTTTGGGGTTGATAAACACATACATTTTGATTAAAATGTTTCCATGCTTACAATAACTTCAAAACGTGTACAAGATTTAAATGTATTCAGTTTTGCAATTCAAAAAATTTGAATGGAATCACAAGTATTGTCTCATCATATTTTGTGCATTTTAGACAGGATTTATTCAGCAAAATTTTGGGGTGACGATATATTATATAGTATTGAAAATCAGATTTCTTGTATAAATAGACAATTTCATCCCATACATTTTACCCATATGGCAAATAAAAAATTATCTACGTAGTTAACTGAATAATTACCCTTTTTGTTTTATTGTTACCATTACCTCTGTAAATTACAATTTTTGACAAATTAGTAACATCCAAAACCGCTTTTTTATGCGATTTGTCGCGATAACAAATGAAGGTCAACTGTAGGCATACAGCGCTATCTAGAAGCGATAGTTCGAAGTTTGAAGAATTCGTTGTTGCTACCTGCTTTTCTGACACAGCTACCGATCGTGCTAGTGGTACTACCAACTATATGACTTTTAATCGATGCATAGATGTCACTACGTTGCCAATTCTTGAAAAATCTGGAAATAATAACTAGAAATCCCAGAATGGAACTATTTGTCTTTCTGACTTAAAATTCTGCTGAAACCGTCAGTTTTTAATGTGTTATAATTACCAGTTTACTAAAGAACTATTTTATAAAAATACATTTCAATGTTATAAGTAAAACCTGCAACAAAATCACCATTCTTAGTCAAATTATATAAATAAAATATGTCTAATGTGCGTGCTGCAAATGCAGGAAATCAGAGAAACAACAGTCTTAATTTACTACAATTTTCTCTTATCTTCAAATATGTATATGAGATTTAAAAAACTAGCCAATAGGACATTAGACCGATTCGTTAAACCTGAAGGTATTAAATTCCCCCAACATACTACGAAGTTTGCAGCTAAAATTAGTGTATTTGTGGTGGCAGCACTGCGAGTATTTATTTTTAAAATTCCCCATACGTCTCTTAAGTTTCTGGAACATAACAAATAACAACAAATGAATGAAAACCTTGTGAATTGTCAATTACTCCAGAAACATTGGATGAACAGAAATGTTAGTTAAAAATGTAAATTCTTCCCAAATGGGCTGAAAATATTTTAATGAGACCGCAGGGATCGAATGGGTGAACAAGGTATCTTCGGTGTTGTATGAATTCTTGTAGTCCAGTGTGATTTCAGTGTTTTTTTCTTGTCCAAAGAACTATTTTTTTATTATTTAAGGCTGCCTAATACATAAAAGTTTCTAATCTTAAACAAAAAACACATTTTGCTAAGATATATGTCGTTTTAAAGCGTATTGAAATTACCAGTACGCACTGTGTAATGTGGGTTGCATAACCTTTCTTTATTAGTTTCCTCAAAAACAAAATAGTCAATCATGGTAGCACACTAGCAAGCTAACTTCTACGATTTCACCATTTCTAGAGATGGGTCCGCAGACTAATGCGAACATGCGCTTTCCTAAGCTTGCTAAGCTTAGACCTTCGAACGAATAATACCCATGAAATTCTTTTCACACCTGAAATGGTGGCAAAAATGCACATCCGTGAATATTAAAATTAATCACAAAACTTCCAACACCTCCATCACGTTACCCAGAAATTTCAGAGCGAAAAACAATACCTTGAAGATTGGAACCACAACTTACTCTAATTTCAACAATCATGCGATTAAATCGAGAAATTAGTGTGTTTATATTTACTTTATGATCGATGTATTAAACTTAAACTGAGGTATTTATTCTAATCCAGTTGTTCATTTTTAAAAATCGATTAAAAACAAAAAGTCTGCAAAAAAGTCTACCCATTCACTTCAAATTTAACAAATATTGATAAAATATATAATACACAATTTCTCCATTGAGTTAACTCGTGAGAACTTACTTTATGTATTTTTACACAATAAAGTCTTACTTTTATTATCCTTTCTTGCCGAAGATTCGAAACTTAAGTACGCTTATTTTATTTTTTTAATTTTTTGAGTTTTGAAAAATGAAGTTTTTGGAAAAGTTGCCTAAAAATACACACAAAATGCTAAGATGTAGACCTCGAGAATTATTGAGTGTTTATGGTTCCAGAGCAAGATTTTCGAAAATTCCGTTTGGTAATACATAATCACTTTTTGATTAATCCTAAAAACTGCCATATTTCATTTAAGAGATTCTGGAAAGACAGATTTTCGAAGAAATGTAGCCGAAAATAAATTCTAGAGGTCGAATTCTGCAAAAAAATCTCTTTGTGTAATTTTCGAATTTAACAGAAAAAAGGCCAAGAATTTAATGAGTATTAAAAAATTGAGCTTCTTAGAAAAGTGGCCTAAAACTTTTATAAAAAATTCTAGGATACAGATGTCGACGTGTTGATTCGTAAAATATCGTTTACGGTCCCAGAGCAAGATTTTCAAATTTTCGGTTCCAAAAGCACTTTTTTTAAACCTAAAACACTGCCTCATTTCATGTAGGAGATTCTGGAAAAATGTTAGGAATTTTCGAAGAAGTGAAGCTGAAAATAACTTCTGGAAGTCGGCTGCAAAAAGGTCAAAAATTTCATTAAAAAATTGCTCTTTTTGGAAAAGTTATTTAAAAATTCATAAAAGCTGAGTCCGGGACTACGGTTTTTCAAATTATGAGTTTGAAAATCTTTTTTATTTTATTTTAAAGCTGCCTATTTCTTATTAGCGACTCTGGAAAAATGCTAACAATTTTCCAAGAAATGGAACCTAAAATGATGTGTGGAAATTAGATCCTATAAAAAAAAAACGTCTTTGGGTAATTTTCGGAGGTAGCAGAAAAGATCTCAAAAATTCCATACAGCATATTCAGTTTGAAAGACAGTTTTTCTTGTTTTAAAATTACTGTTTTTCTTACTGGATAACTGTAAGAATTTTTGAAGAATGAAGTGAAAAATGACCTCTGGATGAGCGAATCTACAAAAAAATTCCTTTAGGTAATGTTCGAAAGTGGTCAAAAAATGTGAAAAATTGATAAATAGGACTTCTGGAAAAGTTGCGTAAAAATCCTCAAAAATTTCTAAGATATAAATCACGATGTGGTGATTCAAAAAATATAGCTTGTTTTTTATAATCACTTTTTCTAACTTAAAATATTGCCATATTTCATGCATGAGGTTCTGGAAAAATGTTTGAAGAAAAGAAGTAGAAAACAGCTTCTGGAAGTCGGATTCTACACAAAAATCTCTTCAAATAATTTTCAAAGGTAGTCGAAAAGATGTCAAAAATTTCATGTGGTGGAAGTCTTGAAAAATGAGCTTAATGGAAAAGTTGCTTAAAAATTTATAAACACTTCTACAATATTTGATCACGATGAACTGTATCGAAAAATATAGCAAAGTGATGATCCCGGACTAACATTTTCCAAATATTCACTATGAAAATATTTTTTTTTAAATTTAATAAAGCTAAAAATAACTTTTGGATGCCGGTTTGTACAGGAAAAAATCTTTACATAATTTTCAAAGGTAGTCGAAAAAATGTCAAAAATTTGGCACTGTTCCAAATGGAGTTTTTGAAATTTTTGCTTAAATATTCTCAAAAAATTTTGATTGCTATATTTCATATTGGTAAGAATTTGAAGAAATGAATCCAAAAATAGCTTCTGGTTGTGGGAGTCTACAAAATTAATGTTCAAAAGTAGTCAAAAAGATTAAAAATTTCGTAAGAGGGGAATATTGAAAAATTAAGCTTTTGGAAAATTTGCCTAAAATTCCACAAAAATAACAAGAGATAGATTGTAGAATGAACGTGATGATTCGAAAATATAGGGTGTTTACGCCATTAGAGCAAGATTTTCGAAATCTGATCATCAAATTTGGTGATCAACGTGTTTTTAATTCCTAAAAATTGCCACATTTTGGAAAAACAGTAGGAATTTCAAATAAAGAAGCCGAAAATTAATGAAAAATACATAACAAACAGGAAAAAACCCAGAATTTCATTACAGTTAGATATGTAAAAGTGGTACGAGGACTTTACTGCAACATTTCCGGTGTTAAATAAATAAATAAACACATCAATCATATAAACTTCATAGAAAATAGTAAAAAAATAGCTCAAACATGGCTTAAGATTTTATTTGGTATGTTTACATATAGTAATAAACATATTGATCGAACCAAAACAACTTTATGCTTTCTGTCCATTAGGTCGTATAATAATTTCACTTATCTAAAACCAGCCAAATAACACACTACAATAAAAAATATATATATTTACCTGAACACGAGGGGGAGTGGAAAGTGCGTACATGACAGCACAAGCTATATCTTCCGGTTCCAAAAGCGGCATTTGATTTAAAACGCTAGGATCAATATTGAATTTATCCTTTCCTAAAAGACCTGTAGCAACACCCCCAGGACTCACACTCTACGGTTTTTTAATTAACCTGTAATTTTAAACGAAACACTCTGTACAAACCGTAATTTTAATCCTCTCCTCTTCTCTATTGAACTCCTGCCGCAGCGTCTCCGCCAGGGCCGTAACGGCGAACTTCGACGCCGGATACACATTCAGCCCTGCCAAATCCGGCACCAAGTGTCCAATAAGACTGTTAATGTGCACAATATGCCCCTCAATTTTGTTACATCTCATCACTTTTACCGCTTCCCTTGTGGCCACACATAATCCGAAAACGTTAATATCAAGAACTTGCTTCCAAATTTTAGCATCACCGTCACTGAGTCCGGTGTTAGGCATGATTCCTGCATTGTTTACCAAAATGTGAACAGGACCGTACTTGTCACAAACTTGCTTGAAAGCCGCCACGATGTCCTCTTCTTTAGATAAATCGGCTTTGACGGCGTAAAGGTGGCCCTTTTTGCCGGAGAGCTTTTTGGAAAGTTCTTGGATTCGGTCCACACGACGAGCTATACCAGCAACCTGAGTTAAGTAACTTCGTTAATTTGATTAAGTCAAAATTAGGTCATTGAAGGTACTTACGTTAACACCAGCGTCTACTAGTTTCTCGGTAAGGGCAGCGCCTATTCCAGAACTTGCGCCTGTTACGATGGCTAATTTTCCCACCCATCTCTGCATACAAGACGCCATGGCTTTTGTCTATGGGTTTGTGGTGATGGGTTTTTATAACTTCAGCGGTGTTGTATCACCGAATAAAAATAGAATAGGCTAAACTGGATTGTAATTGTTGCGTGGACGTGGGTACACTGGATGGCCCATTTTTTTTCTTTCTACGATAGAATCAATTAGTTTTTACTGTCGTTTTAAAAACTATGTTACATGGAGAGAAAATTGATGACACTTTTGATTATTTTGTTTTGGGCTCAATTTATCATGCCTAGTTATTGTCAAAGAACCCAAGGAGCCAAATCTGGTACACCCGGTATAGTGCAGATTTTTGCAAGGTCATATATTTTTTTGAGTTGCGAATCTCTTTTCATAATTTAATAAAATAAAAAAATAAATAAATAATACAGGTTTATATGATATATCCAAAGAAGACATACGGTTTTTACTATTGCTATAACGCATATCGTTTTATGATTAAATTATAGTTTTTTATTTCAGGTCGAAACCTTGAATATCATCAATCATGTGAACTTACTTTTAAACGAATAGACATCCTGTTCCTAAATTCATTAAACCAATTAAACCTTTGTTTTGAAAATTTCGAATTATTTACTGTCACTACTTATGGGTTTAAATACATTCTACAAACCTTGCAGACTTGCTAATATTTAAAAAACAGTATATGAGGAATCTCAGCCTGCAAACATTGAGTACATTATTAATAAATAAAAATATTCGCAGATGTTACCTTGAATATTATATAACGTTTTTAATCGCTATGACACTGCAATAGCTTTTGTTAGTGAATTATGGTAAGTGGGTGGATTTTTTTTAATTTTAATTCTAAAAAAATTAAGGAAGTTTACAAGGTCAAACTCGATTAAACTTCCAGGGGTATTGCAAAAATAAGTTTTTTGGAAATAAGTTCATAACTAAACGAGATTATTGTATAGGTGAAAATAATTTATATGTTCTTTCATTTGTTATTTGTCAGTTGTTTTCAGTTATAGTTTAATTTTTTGTCTGTTAGTATTTTAAGAACGTTTTTTTTTATCCACTGGGGCACATTGGTAATTTTCATTTTTGCACCTTATTTTTTTAATTTTTGTTTAGTCAATCATTTCGGGTGTTATAAGAAGTCAAACAAAATTCAGGCAGTCCCATAGCTCAATTCCGAAAATCCGAATTAATAAATTTTTTATTTTACGCGGCAAAATATTTCACGAAAAAATAAAAGTTTACGATTTGCCTGAAATTGAGATTCTAAACTAACTTTTCATTCCTTTCTGCCATCAATTGTAGAAAATAAATCGATTTCAACTGAAATCGTGTTCAATTCCTGAATTAAAAAAATATTTTTTGAGTTTACGGGCTCAATATTCCACGAAAAAAATGAAGATTATACGACTTGCAGGAAATTGAGTTTCTAAGCTAATTTTTCGCTGTAGAATTCGTTTTTGTCATTAATCGTTGAATATCAATCCGATTTCAAGCGAAATTGCGTTTCATTCCGTATCACAAAAAATATTTTTCGGGTTTAGGGGCTCACCATTTGAAAACGGTTCAAGATATCGACTTTTAGTTTACAACTCGATTCCTTGGGGTCTTTTAGTTCCAACGAGGAATGCTTTGGGTCGAACAATTTGGAGATCTGGACCTGAGAGACCTATAAAATGAGCGATGCTATTTTTCTAGAGGAAGCATTATTTAAAATATCAAAAACATCAGGGAAGTAAGTAGCTCATTTCTGAACCGCGATTCATGTTCAGGAGGTTCAAATTAGTATATGTAACAAGTTTCAGGAATTTGCATTAGGTAACGCGTAAGGTACTTATTACAAGTACCACAATCGCGAGATTTTACGCACGGAAATATTTCACAAAAAAATAATAAATATCCGATTTGTCTGAAATTGAGTTCCTGAATTAATTTTTTATCGTAGAATTCATTTCTGGCATCAATCGTTGAATATCAATCCGATTTCAAGCGAAATTATGCTTCATTCCGTATCTCAAAAATTTTTTTTCGGGTTTTGGGGGCTCACCATTTGTAAACGGTTCCAGATATCGACTTTGTCGAAAAAACAATGATTGTCGAATTGTATGAAACTGAGTTTCTGAATTAAATTTTTACTGTAGAATTCATTTCTGGCAGCAATCGTTGAATATCAATTCGATTTCAAACGAAATTATTTTCCATTCCTTGTCTAAAAAATATTTTTCGAATTTAGGAGTTCACCATTTCAAAACGGTTCAGAATACCGACTTTCAGGTTTCAGCATTCGATTCCTTGGAGTTTTCTAGTTGCAACACATGATATTTTGGGTTGCATAAGTTAGCGGTCCAGGCTGAGAGACCACTAAAACTGGCGATATCATTTTTCTATAGATAGCATTATTTAAAAACTAAAAAAAATCAGGATAATCCATGGCTCAATTCTAACTCGTATTCCTATTTAGGAGGTCCAAATTAGTATGTGTAACAAATTTCATAAATCTGTCTTAACGATTCCTATAAGGAAGTTAGTTTTGTATCACAACCACGCGATTTTTTTTCTCTAAAAAATGAAAGTTTTCCAATTTGTCTGAATTTGCGTCTCTGGATTATTTTTGCAATGTAGACTTCATTTTTGCTATTAATCGTTGACTATTAATTAGATTTGAAGCGAAATTGCTTCTCATGCTGTATCTTAAAAAATATTTTTCGAATTTACGAGCTTATCATTTCAAAACTGTTCAAGATATCCACTTTCGGTTTGTAGCATTGAATTCCTTGGAGTTTTTTGGTTGGAACAAATAGTTCCTTGTACCAGATAATTTAGCGGTCCGAGCCTGAGAAATATATTTCGAATTTACGGGCTTATCATTATTAATTTTTTTTGTATAATATAGGAAAACTTTTGAAGAAGATTTTAGACGATTCGGTGGCAAAAACACTTGACTTTTACCGGAAGAAAAAAAATTTCTTTGTATTCAGTACACGACTTTCAAGTTGCTATATTTTTAAACAGTCTAGGTCTTTATAGCAAACGTACGCCGCCATTTGGCGCTACAGTTATATTTGAAATACATAACATAGAATGAGTTTATGGCTTGAAGGTTGTCGGTTATTTTAAAATAACTACTGGGTGTGGATTTAGTTTTGTTTATTTTAAGTTGTTTTTTCAGGATTACAGTGAAACCGCTCCCAAACTTTTGGTACACAAGTTTTTGCGAATTTGGTAAATTTGCTGAACTAATAGCTGGCGACCTTCCTGTAATGGTCGATATTTGCATATTTACTGGGGGATTAACGTGATAAGATAAAATTGCCAAAATTTAAATCCTTATGAACATACGTCCACCTGAATGAATCATGCAAATCTTATGGTTTTTCCGATAGATTTAGGCTTGCCTATGTCTATTTGTTTTATATAACGTGTAAATTAATTAATTTGAAATATTGTTATATCTTCTAAGACCGGAATTACAAATTATTCTAATTTAAAAAATCATGTGATTAAATTGAGAAATTAGTATGTTTATTTTCACTTAATGGGCAACGTATTAAACTTACAACTGAGGCATTTTTCTTAATCCAATTGTTCATTAACAGTAAACAGTCTGTAAAAACATCTGCCCACACACTTCAAATTTAACAAACACTGATAAAATATGTAATATACAATTTCTTCTTTGAGTTGACTCGTGAGAACTTACTTTATCTATTTGGACACAATAAAGTCTTTCTTGCCGAAGATTGGAAACTTAAATCCTCATATTTTATTATTTTTTTATTTCTTATGAGCCTTGAAAAATGGAGCTTTTGGAAAAATTGCCTAAAAATCCACAAAAATGCTAAGAGGTAGACTTCGAAAATTATAGTGCTCGGTTCCAGAGCAAGAGTTTCGAAAATTCCGTTTGATAATAATCAATTAATCACTTTTTGGTTAATCCGAAAAATTGTCACACTTCATTTAAGAGATTCTGGAAAGACAGATTTTCGAAGAAATGTAGCCAAAAATCTATTCTGGAGTTCGCATTCTGCAAAAAATCTCTTTGTGTAATTCTCGAATTTAGCCGAAAAAAAGCCAGATATTTTATGAGCATTGAAAAATTGACCTTTTTGGAAAAGTGGCCTAAAAATTCATAAAATAATTCTAGGATACAGATCTCGACGTGGTGATTCGTAAAATATTATTTACGGTCCTAGAGCAAGATTTTCAAATATTCGGTTTGAAGCACACTTTTTTTTTTAAATGAAGCTGGAAATAACTTCTGGAAGTAAGATTTTACAAAACAAATTCTTTACGTAATTTTCGAAGTAGATTCAGAAAGGTCACAAATTTCATTGAAAAATTGAGCTTTTTGGAAAACTTATCTAGAAATTAAAAAAAAAAATCTAAGCTTACTGATTGTCCGGGACCACGATTTTTCAATTAATCCGTTTGAAAATCTTTTTTATTTTATTTTAAAACTGCTTATTTCATGTTGGTGACTCTGGAAAAATGGTAACAATTCTCGAAGAAATGGAGCCGAAATGATATATGGGAGTTGGATTCTATAAAAAAACCTCTTTGGGTAATTTTCGGAGGTAGTAGGAAATAATGTCAAAAATTTGATATGAATACATACTAAAAAATTCAGCTTTTTGGAAAAGTTGTCTAAAAAAATTCTGCGATATAGATTTCGAGGATCTGAATTGAAAAATGCAGCATAATGATGGCCCCGGATCAAGATTTCGCAAATACTGAGTTTGAAAAAGAATTTTTTATTAATTTTAAAAATTAGGTTTTTTGTAATTGGGTAACTGAAAGAATTTTTGAAGAAATGAAGTAGAAAATGGCCTCTAGATGAGCGAATCTACAAAAAAATTCCATTATGTAATTTTCAAAAATGGCCGAAGATTGTGAAAAATTTTTGGGTTCTTCCTATTGACAAATGAAGCTTAAAAAAAGCTGTCTAAAAATCTAAAAAATTCTAATACATAAGCAGATTTCGACTGGGGTAATGAAAAAAACATTTTCTAAGTATTCGGTTTAATAATCACTTTTTACCTAAACGTAAAAATGTCGATATTTCATATAAGCAATTCTCAAAAAATGGTAGCAATTTTTTAATGAAATGGAGCCGAAAATACTTGCTGTAGGACAATTTGTGCAAAAAATTTTACGCAATTTTGTA